TCCCCTCCAGCCGTTTCTGTATTCTCACTGCAAAGTGATGCAGAACCACCTTGGCTAAACAAGTGAAAGCTCAGCACCAGTTCCAACCAGTAAGGAGCAAGGAGCTCTCGTGGCAGGAGGGGGCACATGGGGTCACCCTGTAAGGGCACTATGGGGGACCAGGCATCCAGAATGGAGCTGTCACCTCCCAGACCTGTGGGGAGGCGTCTCCCCGCCTTCAGCATCACCAGCATCCCTCTGGGACAGCCTGGGACAGGGCTGGCCCGCAGCACAATGAATCTTTGGTGATGAAACCTCTGTGGTGGGACACACGAGCAGCCTGCACCGAGGTCACGCTCTTCTTAATAGGATTTCACCATCCAGAGAGTTACTGCAGGAGGACAACGCTGGTTCTGCTGTGCATTATTCCTGCCTGTCCCCAGAGCTGAGTGGTGGAACCCCCATCTCCTTCTGCCCCAAATGTGGGGAAGGTGCACCAAGCCTTGCAGCATGTATGGGGGGTGAGTGAGCCCATCACCCTGCCCATCACCCATGGATAATATTCTCTGAGCCCAGTGCTCATTTTCACCCCAATTACACCCAGAGGCAGAAGTCAAAAGGCTATTTCTATGCACTCCAGAACTGCTGATGGAAAGGAAACTTTCCTGCTGAGCAAAACGCTGCGGCGTGAGCCCAGCCCTGCTCTAGGATATCAGAGCTCAGCACCAAGGCGAAACTTCATGGGAAATCAGCCTGCCTTGGGCTGCCTGCTTACGGCACCACTTGGTTTGTTTTGTTCCCAGCTCGAGATACCGGTTGGACAAAAAATGCTTTGTAAGGATGGAATTAAAAAGGATGATGCAAAGCCCACAGGGTGCCTGGGAGAGGAAACGTGAGTGGCCAGCAGTCGGCAGCCACGGGGTGCAGCGTGTTTGGAGAACACAGGGTTCCTGCCATTGCCCATGCATGTGACTTTGTATATAACCACCAGTTACACACTAGATTTAATCTTGGGTCAAAAGTCACAGATAATTTGAACCATGCACAAATTATTCGTTGAACATTTGATGGGTTGTTGGTGTTGTTTTCTTTTTTTTTTTTGCTACTTTTTGTTTGGCCCAAACAACCTCAGCAAAACCAATGAGCCCTTGCTTGTGGTGCCCAAGGGTCAGGGCTACCTGCGTGCCCCTGCTGCCTTCCCAGTGCTGTGCATTTGCTATAGAGAGAAAAAATGAAGGATACAAGGCAAAACGTCCAGTCTGGAGCTCAGCAGGGGTCCTCAGCCCCGTTGTTCTGCTGCTTTGTGGGTGACCACGCAGAGGGTGCCCTCAGCACCCTGCAGTAGCGCAGTGCAGGTGCTGCTTTCCTCAGCACATTCAGCCCCAGCTCATCACCCACTTTGGCTCCTGGTTTTCTCTATCTGGTGTCTCCTTTCCACCTTGAGCCTCAAGCTGGCACTGGAAGCCAATCTGGTATCAAAGAGATATCAGCAGGGACGTTGGTAACAGTGCTGTCTTGTTGGGTTAATTGAGCAGAGGGATCCACCAGCTCATCCATGGCTGGGCATGGCAATGGCCCCCACTTCTGCACGGAGCAGCCCACTCCCCAGCAACTCCACCTTCCCACCAGCACCAACAGCTTCAACACAGAGGCACTGATTCTTCTTTCCCAGCACTGATACAGCTGCACAGGATAGGGGAAAACCCCTCTGGGACAAGGAAGAGAAAGCGCTGCCACAGGAACAAATAGCAATAATACTGCTGATAGCACTTTTCCAGAGCTTCACAAACATTAATTTGTGCTGGTACACAGTTCAGTGTATGGTTCCCATTTTATCCACTAGGAAAAGAAGTGGCCATTTTAATTTAACCTAACTCCTCTTTAATTTAATGCTGGGGCACTTGCAAGAAAACCTGGAGCCTGTTTCAGAGCTCCTGCACAGGAGAGTGATGCTCCAAAGGGTGACACGTGGAACAGTAGCAGCAGCAGTGCCTTTCCAAGTTATTCCTCATCCCAGCACAAAATTTGGGGCCCAGAATGGTGCAAACAGTCCAGGCTTCACCATGGCCCTTCAAGCTCTCCCTGCAGCTGCAGCAGCTCGCTGTGCCTTTGCTTTCTTTCCCTCTGCTTTTGTGCCTTCCTGCGTCCTGTCTCCACACCAGGTTGCCTCCTTAAGTGTCTGACTTTAATTTCTCTCCACCAAGAGCCGGGCCTAAGCAATTACATAATAATGAGCTATTCATCCAGAGGGAGGGCACGGATCTAGGTTAATTGGGCTGACAATTGAACTCAAGCCTTTCCGGTTTTGCCCAGTTTTCCTGAATTTTTTTTTTTCTCTTCTGCACAATCTCTGCAAAGCTCTCAGCCTCGTTAATTAATAAGGTAACTTCCCCCCGAGGGCTGTTTTGTTCTCCCCTCCCTCCTGCCAATGCTTGGGTAGAAGAAGAAGCAAGAATTAGCTAGCTGGTAACGAAGCAGCCGGCACTGAGCAGGATGGAGCTGGTTTGCTCTGATGGCTGTGCAGGCTGTGTGGGGCTGCTGCTGCCCTCCTGGGTTTTGGGGAAACAATGCTGCATGTGCAACACAGGTGCTGTGCCAACACAGGTTGGATGTGGTGGGTGGATGCAGAAAGCAGCTGGGCTGGGTGGGGGCTGAGTCATGGTGGGGGCTGTGAGGATGGGGGGAGAGATGCAAAAGCATTCATGGCTCCTTGTGAATAGACAAACCTAAAAGCTTGCGCGCTTCTGAAGCCCTTTGAGCCACCAGAAACACAGGGCTGATGAGCAGGGGTGCAGCCCAGCACCCTGTGACAGCGGTGACACTCAGGGAGTCCCCAGCATTGTCCCACCAAACTGGGATGCTGTGGGGAGGGATGGAAGGAATGGACCAAGCTGTCCTGCCACACACCAGCTGCCAGCACCATGGGAGCAGGTCCTGCTGCTGCCCTAGCAGCCACATGTTTTCTCTGTTTTACTTTGCAGCATCACATGCGTGCAGTTTGCCGGCTCCATCCTGGTTGGTACCCACACACATGCCAGATAGAAACACATCCATTTCCCCATCATTTTCCTGTATTGGGGACTTATGGAGCTGAACGGGGCCAAACCATTCCCCTGGCCACGCTCCTGCTTCAGGACCCCAAACCCCAGAGAAGAGCCACTTATGGGATGCTGTGGCAGGTTATGGCTTGGCAGCGTGGCGGCCTCGTGCCGAGGAAACAGCCGTGAGCTCCAGCCCTGGGGAGGGGTGGAGGCCCTACACAGCGTGTTCCTTCAGAGTGTTTGTCAGCACAGGCACAAACAAACATTTCGTGGGGCCTTTGCCAGGAGGACAGGATTAACGTGCACGGAGACCCGAAGGACGCAGGAAGCGCTGCAGCCATCGCTGAGAGCTCCCAGCCTCCACGCACTGCCAGGGCACGGGGAGCCTTACACCTCCGGGGACTGCGTTACTCAAGGCCTTGTGTACAAACAGGAGCAAAACCCATTAATCCTGGCAGGAGGGAACATGTGTCCTGATGCTGAGGGGTGAGAGGAAACCATCAGAACACTCTCTGGTGTCCCACAGCCTCACCACCCGCTGTCCTGTCCCCCAAAAGGAGCCTTACTTTGGGATGAATGGGAGGGAGAAGTGAATTGAGGGATGTCTGTGGGATTTGCAATGAAAAATCCCACATTGGGATCATGGGGAGAACCAGGAGGCCAGGAGGAAGCAGGGCAGAGCCAAGCTGGAGGCATGGAGCAGAAAGAAGAGGATGATGAGGAATGCTCTGTGCTGCCAGGGGCCCACAGCCCACATATTTCCAGCAATACTTTCCATGTGAACCCTACAGACCCCCTAGTTCTTCAGATCCATGAGTTTTTCATGAATTTGCCCTCTGCTTCTCTCCTCCATTTCACTGAGGGGCAGTGGGGTTTGGATATAGGGATGGGATGCAGAGATGGAATGCAAGGGTGGGATACAGGGATGGCTGCAGGATGGGATGAAAGGATGGGACACAGGGATGGGATGCAGGGATAGGATGCAAGGGTGGCATTCCTGGGATGCGGGAATGAGGTGAGCAGGATGCTGTGCAAAGGAACCAGATCTTGCTCTGAGGCTGGGCTGGCAGCTGCACGCTCCCTCACACGATCACACAGTCCCCTCTAGTGGATATTTCTCTTGCATCCCCACTGCCATCCCGCCCACAGCGTACAGGGCAGCACCGCACTGCAGGCCCTGGCTCTGAGCACCAATGCCAGGCACAACCCGCTCAGCTCTGCACACCAAAGTGGGGCACAGCAGCCAAAGCTCCGTCCAGCTGCTGTCGAGGGCTGAGCCATCCCCTGCTCTGCTCACTCCCTTCCTGCGTATTCGGGTGACTCAGCCCTCCATTCCTTCCCTGCCGTTGGCCCCCACCACCCGCAGGTTTTGCGTCAGGGCTGCCCCTGCGCAGCATCACTGGGCTCGACCCCAACCCTGCAGCCCCGCTCCCCCGCTTCAAGATCTTTGGGCTTTGGCCAACGTGAGAGCAAGTTAATGAATAACTCAGCGCGAGCATCGCTTGCACTGACCTCATCAGGTCCTGCTGTGCTGAAATGGATTGGAATAGGGGTGGTGAATTTAAGAGGGGTGCTTGCACACAGGTAATGGGACTGGCCACGCTGCCCATAGCTTTTGAGCAATGCCAAAATCAGCCCTTAGTGCTGATACATAACAGGTGCTTTCCTTGCTTCCAGCATCCTTCGTGTGGGCTGAGGCCATCAGGGTCCAGTGCTCACAGTGAACCTTTGCAGGCTGCCCCACAAACCAGCTGCGAGGGCAGGGAGGAGCTGTTGCCCAAACTCCAGCAAGATTTTTGGCCCCATAGTGGCTTTTGGGGGATGCAAACCTGGTCCAGGCTGTGCTGCCCAAACTCACCAGGAGCAAATAGATGTCCCTGGGTGTCCCAGGGCCGGAAGTCCCAATCCCATCATGGATGTCCCCCAGTCCCCTACAGCAGCTGCATCCCCCCAGAGCCCACTGAGTGCACAGAGAGAGGCTGAGGCTGTGGCACAGAGAGGTTTATTGTGCGTCTCCTTCGCAGTGCGGCAATGGGAACATGCATCTCTTCGTAGCCACTTTCATGTTCAACAGAGAGGAAAAGCCCCAAATCTAAGCTCTTTGGTTAACCCTATGAGTGCCAGAGACATGCACAAGGGAATGCACATCCCAGCCCTGGTGCAAATGCTCCATTCTTCCCCCAGTATCAGGGGGAGAGGGTCCGACCCGTGCTACCCCTTGGGCTCAGAAATGCATATCTCAGGTATGAGCTGTACCACATTTTTCCTTGCCACTGCATCTAGGCAGGATTCAAGCTGTGGCAGGATTGGACTCACCAGTGAACCACAAACGTAATCTCTGAGTGCTTCCAACCATCTAACGCAGTGGTCTGAACTGGAAGAGAAAAATCAAACTGTCCTTAAAGCTGCACAGGGCAGTAAAAACATAGGGAAAAAAACAATTCCCAGCACCAATGCTTGCTTCCTCTGTGCCTGGAGGGGAGCCTGGGATGAGGCACGTGCTACCTGGAGAATGCTCCCAGCACCTGGATGCAAACACCCCATCCCTATGGCAAAAGCAGAACCACAGGTGTGAAACTGCAAAACCCAAACTCTGCTTTTTGGGAAGCCAGGTGCCAACAAAACTTGATGTCTATTGCAGTGCTCCTCAGCAGCCTCTATTTTGTAGATGGATGTTTAAAAATAAAAGCTCTGCATAGCCCATCTGAGCACTGAAAGGACCACACCGTGATGGAGAACTGCATCACAGCCCTGAACATGGTGGATGCAGTAGGACAGCAACCCACATGGGATTTCTGTGTGTCCAGGTGGAGCCTGACACAGGAGAAACTCCAGCTCTGTTTTCATTTGCTGTGAACCCCTGTGGCCTCTCCAGCATCACACATCTCACCAAGGAGATGGTGGGTCCGGAAAGCTGTATCCCTGGGATCTGTCTAATGGCTGGATTTGGGCAACCGCAGTAATGTGCCAGTTTATTTCAGCTCCAGCATGGGCTGGGAGAGCACTCCAGAAAGCTCGGGCAGCTCATGGTATCAGTGGGCAAAAAATCAACTCGCAGCCTATACAATGCTGTGCATGATGCTTAGCAGAGCTGCACCTCAGGTGGCAGCACAGCCCAAACACACACCTGAAGCACACAGTGGTTTGAACAGGAAAAACTAAAATAAAATCATTGTGGGATATCACTCCCAAACCATGCAGTCTTAACACAATATCCCCATCCCAACAGACAGGGCTGCTTTTGGAAAGACCCGAGGCAATTCGGGTTTCACTTCTGGCCCTACAGCAGCTTGGGAAGGCACAGATTTGAAGCATTGACTTCAAGAGCCCCTCCAGGTCCCACGCATGGTGGGACAGACTGCTGCTGCTGAAATTTGTTGTTTGTTGGCTGTGTGGCTCTGGGCTCAGATTGCTTTGTGCTGATGGGGATGAGAGAAGAGGAAAGATAAAGGTGCAAGGCAAGCAGCACACAGGATGACCAACCATGGCCACACATCTCAGTGGAGAACTTCACCCCCTATAGTCAGCAAGTCCTTGGACAAGATGGAGGGAACAGTGGTGGGATCTCAAATGGTGTGGGCAGACCCAGCTGCACAATCAGAGGGATCTGCATCATGACATCTCCTCCACAGAGCCGGGAGAAGCAGCAGCAGCCATGTTCCAGTGCATGGTTGCTGCTGTTTGGGGGATGGGGCAGGCTCAGGGAGATGGGAGGTGCCACATCCCAAGCAGGCAGCAGCATGATAGCCTCATTGTGCTCCCTGCCCAGTCCCTTGGTGCTCTGCTACCTTCTCTGTGATGCTGTACCTTCTCCACCACCTCATGTTTTATGTTTTTCCATGCAGCTCTGCACCAATGGCTTTAGGATGCTTAGTGCATCAACTGTCCCACTGCCCAAGCCCAGCAGTTGGTTCCACCCAGGGCTGATCCATTTCTGGATGGATGCACACCCAGAGCTCTCCTGTCAGGCTCATTTCGGACATGAGGAGGAGGAGAGAGATGGGGCACAGACCATGTAGCCATCACATGCATGCCCCTGGCTTTGAAATCCATGGATCACCACCAGTGAGGGCTTGCTGAGTTTCTTACAGCTCCTGGCTAACGAAATGACTGCTCCTTCTTCCCTGAATCAGCACCAGAGTGTCTCTCAGCTGCAGCAGCTCCTCAGTGATGGGGTGGATGCGGATCATTCATAGCAGCAGGAGAACAAATCCATCGTGGCATGACTCCACCACAGAGGGACAGAGGGATGGCCTGTGCTGTGCCAGAGGGGAAAGATGACACTGGGGGTCCAACATGGCACAGAGGGCAGCCAGGCTGAAGTCTACTCCAAGGTCCCCTTCCTTTCCCACCCCATATGTGTCTGACCATCTGTCTGTCTACCTGCCCATGGTGTCGGCCTCCAGGAGGACTCCATGAGGAGATGAGCAGGCAGCTGGGATGGAGGCCAGGGTTTAGGCCGCGTGGCTCAGTGGCAGCCGTTTGCTGTCCAGAATGGCTCTCCAGTCATCAGACCAGGACTGCAACCGGCGCCTGGGCGGCTCCAGCTGCAGATGCTTGTTGTGGCAGGCAGTAAAGAGCACGTGCTCCCAGCTGGGGTTCACCTCGGCCCCTGCAAAGCAAGGAGAGGTCAGATTGATGAGTTCTCCCACTGCGAGGCACTCCTTGCATGCTGCAGCCTGCAGACACATCCCCCTAACGAAAGCATCATCAGCAGGGCAGGGACAAGCACCCATCACCTCTGATTCTGCCCATATATGCTCAGTCCTGCTGCCCCATAGCACCCTTACCAGTTATATCAGGTCTGTCATCGATGAGCAGGTCAGCAGAAACCACTGTCTTATCCCGTGTCAGAACAATCTGCTCCAGAAACTCAGGGCCAAAGTGCTTCTCCACCCAGGCATACTGCAAGGCAAAGGGAGTAGTGAGCACGGGCAGCCCTGGCACCTCCACAAATGGTTCAGCAGTGGGAAGGATGCTGCTGGAGTGCAAGCTTTTTTACATGTAGGCAGGTTCTGGCATCATATGAAATGTTAAGGCCAAGTGTATGCATTTGGCAGAGCACAGACAGCACTACAAAGGTGCTTGGGAATAATTCTGATGGAGCAGGAAATGTCGCGGCTGTGTCACAGCTGGGGGAGCCAAATTTCAGGCCTGCTCACCTTTTCATAGGGGCAATAACGGTACTTCTTGATAGGGCTTGTGCAGATGAACACGTCAGTGCTGCCAAGAGAGAAAGACGGACAGTGTCACTGGGTGGCCAAAGCCTGCCCCCCCTGAGCTGTCCCTGCATGTCCAGCCTGGCATCAAAGCAGCCCCCACACACAGATTAGGAGGACTGAAGCTGTCAGCCCATAAGATCCCACTCTCAGGAGGTGCACCCACACTCACAAGGACATTCTCCTTTTCATTTCCCTTGCTGGGAGCAGAGTGCTGAAGAGAAGGGGATGCACATGGCTGATTTGCAGCAAGCCTTCTGCTTCTTCCTCCCATGCCCAGCACTCCCAACACTGACACTGCACTGAGCACTGCTGCCAGGAGACAGATCAGCCTGCAAAGCCACTGCTGCTCCCCCACCAACCCCAAATACCACGGCAAGGTTCTACTCACTCTGCCAAATTTGACATTTGCTTCACAGCTTCCACAGCGCCAGGGAGCGGGTCCAGCTCAATGAAGAAGTTCTTGGATTCCCAGATGCTGATAGCTTTCTCCTGTGAGAAGGAAGAGAGCTGTTACTGCATAGGGCTTCTCGGTGCTCCCCTCTCTGCATGAGCACATTTTCCATGGATGGAAGCAGTGAGAAAGATCATAGTTATAGAATGGTTTGAGTTGAAAAAGACGCTTAACAGTCATCTAGCCCAAATCCCCTGCAGTGAACAGGGACATCTACAGCTGGATGGAGTAGAGTTGGCTCTGGTCCCCTTTTGGTGACCTGCATAGTTTAGGTTGGAGGCTTAGTTTTGCATGTGCAGCTCGACATGTGGGGAGAAAGCTGCTTCAAAGCACAGAATATTCAGCACCAAACTGAACTTCAGGTCTGTGTCTGGAGGATCAGTGCCAATGTGGATCCATCTGAAGTGCGCTGGTTCCTGTGCTGCAGTGTGATGCAGTTCAAGTCAAGATGCTCTCTGCCCTATTTATCTCCATTAGATCACTTAAAATATCAGCCAGGCTGTTCTCATAGGAGACAGTGTATTCTAGGAAGAAATATATGCCAGGATGAATGCATATAGTCTTCCTCAGGGATGCCCAGGAAAATGGAACAACACTAGGCAAGGGTTTGAAATACATAACATCCAGATTTGCAGCCATGTTGCACTGCTCTGGTCCAAAGGGAGAGCAGAGCAAAGAGAGACCACAAGGAATGAATGCTTTTAGGACAAAGCAGAGCCTGCTGCACAGCTCTGAGGAACAGCATCCAGAGCTCCCTCAAACAGGAAGCAGCCTGGCAGCTGCCAAGAAAAGCAATTATTTTGCAGACATGGGGTCCTTGTGGAGGAGAGCCTGGGAACAGCAGGGGTGCAGGCACAGAAAGCAGCCATGTCCCGATGTTAAAATGCAGCTGAGCAGCTGGGAGAAGACATGATGTGAGCCCTGCCCTGAAGGATTGGTCTTCATTCTGAGCACCTCTGCTGCTTTATTTGGGGAGAGGAAATAGGGAGAAAAGGAACTTAAATTCCTGAACTAAAACCAACACCCTAGCAGCTCACCAATGGTCCAGGCAGACATTCAGACTCCAGTTACTCTGCCACACATTGGTGGGCAATGTTTTATTTCTAGGGAACTGAATGTAGCTGCACAGGAGAAATGTGCCCTGATGCAGCAAAGCACTTCAAACTACACTGAAGTGTTTTCTTACAGCAGTGACTTCCATAGCTATTCTGCTTCCACTTATGTCAAAAAGCATTTTGCAATCAAGCTCGATGGGGGAAGAACTGAGCCCATCTTGATGAAAAATCCCACACAGCTCCTATAGCCAGAGTAGCTCCCTGCAGCATGGCAGTCAGAAGGAGAAGTCCCCCAGGCTGGAGATCCCACCTTGCACCAAGCAGGATGGGCCCTTCTGAGAACTTCCACCCCTATTTTCTGCTTCTCTTTCCCCATGAACACTTCCGTCCAGAACTCTCCACCCTTCCAGGCTCTGTGCACTATGTGCTGCTGTTCTCCATTTATTTGGGCTCTTTTCCTCCTGTTTTCCAGTCTCCTCTAATGGTGCTCACCAATGGCTGGAACATGCCATGCTCCTGCAACCACTCAGCAGCTCCTGCTCTCCTTACCCCTGATCTGGGAGCAAGATGGAAGCAGAGGTTCTCCAGGGCTGGTCTGTAGGAGATCTGCTATTTCAGCTCAAGATATGGAGGTTTTATGTGACTGTGGCAGACACGACCTTATTTCATTTAATACATTCAAACAAGTTAAGATTCAGAAAACTAAAAAGTATTATCATGCACTACCTCTGTCTAATCTTTATCGCCCACCTTACTGCATGGATGATGCCCTGCTTCCCCCCCACCCATCAACCCCTCAGCACTTTAAGCTGCTTAGGACTTTGCCAATGGGAGAGCCGGAGCCCCATGCACGCTCCCCTTCTTGCAGGCACCATACCACTGTATTCCTTGTATCCATCTCCATCCATACACGCAGGGAAAGGAGATGTGCATTAAAATTGCTGGATTTTGGGGACACAAGGTAGTGCTGCATGCAGACATGTCCCTAAGTTTGGGTGTTACCCATCACCCTCCCTGCACCCATGAGCAAACCGCAGCCCTGCACAGGTCACAGGGGGATGCACAGACTCACGCTCAGCTCAGCTGCCAGGCGCCCGTATTGCTCCGACACCCAGAAGCCCCTCCGGTCCTCCAGGGCAATGTAGGGCTTGTCGGGATACCTGGCCCTGAACTTCTTGAGGAATCCTCCTTCGAAGTCGGCCAGGACCCCATCCATATCCACCAGCACACGCAGCGCCCTGCGGGACCCCGCTGTGGGGCTGGACCCCCTGCCCAGCCCTGCCAAAGGGCCGCAGTGCCGCGGCCGCAGGTGCAAGATGCTGCTCAGCAAAATCATGGCAGAGAGGGGCTTGGGGCGTCCTTTTTTTGCGGAGAGGGAAAAGGGGAGGAGGTTATTTCAAGCACGCACTCTGCAAGCAGACAGCTCCTGCAAGCAAGTCCCCTTGCAGCTGCAGCAGGGAAAAGCACGGGGGTTGCAATCCGGTCCCTCAGAGGGACTGAGGAGGGGAAGCAAAAGGTGTGCAGAAGGGATGCGGAGGGGATGCAAAGGAGGTGCGGAGGGGATGCGGGAGGGAGGCAATGGGGTGCAGAGGCTCTTCCTCGCCCCAGCTCCTCCCCACCCATCCCTCCCTTGCAGCAAGCACCGAGCGGAGGGCTGCGGGCCGGGGCCGCCCGGGAAGCCGCGGGCCGGGGCACTGCGGAGCGCTCGCCCCGACCCGGCAGTGCAAAAACCCAGTTCCTCTTCCCGGTGCCTGAGCGAGTCCGGAACGGCGGCACCGCCTTAAAGCGGCACAAGCGCCTTGCAAAGCTCGGCTCGGCCGTCCCTCCGAGCCGCTTTAAGCCGGCTGCAGCCGCGCTCCCTCCCCTTCCCCGCGGTGCCCGGGGGCTGCGGGGCTCGGGCTGCTGCCCACCCGCCGGTGCACGGCTCGTCCTGCGGTCCCCGAGGTCGGCAGTAACATCGTTGCTGATTCCCTGCTGCCTCCCCTTTGCCACCGTGTTTTGGGGTGCGTGCAGGAGACGCGGCTGCAGATGTAACGCATGCAGTGTTTTTTGCAGCAAAACCTTAACATGCAATCCATCCCTTTGAACCAGTTCGCGGGAAGAGTTAGACTTTGCCCAGCATCTCACTGACTGCGTGACGTGAAGGTTTAAAAGAAGATACCAGGACACAGAACTCTTCAAATAGTGCCGGGAAACATCCGACCGTGCAAAGGAGGGACTCGAGGTGTCAGAACGAAGTGCTGGCATAGAAACAGCATGCACGAAGGGCTGCGTATTCTGACACAGGACCAGAGATCACCACGGCCAGAAAGCTCTCGGGGGATTTAAGCCGCTAAAGAGCAGGGAGGCATCAGGAGCGTGACTAACAGGATCAGCAGCTGCTGAGTTGGGAATGAAAAGGTTTTGCCCGAGCAATGATTCAACTTAGCAGATCCAAACTATTTCATCTTCCAATTACCGAATAGTTTCTAGGGGGTGCCTCGGCTGTAGGAAGGGCAGTGAGTTGTGCAGAGCCAATGAAGGTCAGCGAGTGAGCAGAGGAAAGAACTCCTGATCAGACCGAGCAGGGAAAACGTGAAGTTTCAAGCGGGTACGAACACGTTTTACTTATCACCACGAATGGGATTTCAGTGCACTTCCCCAAGCACCTATTTGTCTCTCATTGACAAGCAATCAGCTTCGCCCACAGGCCGACAGCAGCTCAGCACTTAACAAACCGAATGAACATCGCTGCCACCCGGCACCGGGGGAACGAACTGTGTGCGCCGATCCGAAGGAGCGCTACTCGGACAGCGGCCCCTGAGCTGAGCGCCGCATCACGGCGGCGAAAGGCACGGCCCCGCTCCTGTCTCTAAGGGCCAAAGCCGCTCCGTCAGAGCCATCGGATCTGACCGCGCAGACCCGGGCCGCAGGCGTTCAGCGCCAAGCGCAGACCGAGCGCGAGGGCGGCAGCGGGCCCGCCGCAGCGCGGCGGTGACACAGGACGGGCAGTGACGTCACCGCGCCGTCACCCGCCCGCCCGGCGGCCCTGCTGAGTCACGACTTCTCGCGCTAAGATGGCCTCCCGCGTCCGGAGTGCGCGCGGGGGCGGTGCTTCCGGCCGGGCCGCGGTTACCCCGGCAACCGCGACGGGCGGGGGGGAGAGGCTTCTGCTCTCGCGAGACGGCGGAAGTGACGCACGGCGGCGGGCGTCGCGCGACTCCCGCGGCGGCCGCTGATTGGCCGGTGGCGGCGGCGCCCGTGGCGGAGCCTCCTTCCCGCTTCCCTCCGCCGCTCCGGCCCGCGCCGCCCCTTCCCTCCCTCCCCCCTCGCAGACGCCCGCCCCGCCCCTCCCGTAGCGCGCGCGGCCGCGCCGCCAGCCGCCAAGATGGCGTCGGCGCTGGAGCAGTTCGTTAACAGCGTCCGGCAGCTCTCGGCCCAAGGTGACCGCCGGGTGCGAACCGCGGGCGGGGCTGAGCGGGGAGCGGCGGCTGGTGCGGCCCGCCGGGCTCCGTGTGTGTGTGGGGAGCGGGCCGGGGCCTGGGTCTCTCGTGGCTTTATCTCGGGTGGTGGTTGGGCCCTGCGGTGCGGAGCTCCGTCTCTCCGAGCGTGCCGGGAGCTCCTTGTGGCTCCGGCGAGGCCCTCGTTCGCCGTCGGGGGTCCTGGGAGGGCTTCAGGCCCGCGAGGAGCGGCTGGGATGGAGCGCGGGCCTTGGGAGGGGGCTGGGAAACGGGGGGGCTTCAGGGAACTGGGGCGTGAATGCGTTTCAGAAGTGCTGGCTGCTGTGGGTGAAAGCTCTGCCTTCCCCCTCTGGGGCCCTGAGGGGCTGACAGTGCTGCTGGGATGTCTGAGTACCTCGGGAGAAAAGGGGAGAGGCCTGGGGCTGCCTCAGAGTTGTCATTACACAGCACTCAGAAGGTGTTTTAGTATCTCTGTGTAAACTGTCTCAGTTTCATTGCTAAACTTCTCGTTACCCCACGGTGTTTTGTACTTCTTGAGCTTTCTGTGGGGATGCTCCCCGAGAACCTCTTTAGTGTGAGGATGGCAGAGCACTGGAACAGGCTGACCATAGAGGTGATGGATTCTTCTCTGGAGATGTTCAGACCTCACCTGGTCACCTTCCTGTGCAACCTGCTGTAGAGAACCTGCCTTAAGAGGGATTGAGCTTGGGGGTCCCCAGAGGACCCTTCTAGCCCCTACAGTTCTGTGGATGTTTGCACTGTGTAAGTGATCAGAAAATCATGCTTTCCTCTGTGGCCCTCAGGCTTTATCTCTGGCAGTTACTTTTGAGAGGGGCATAGATTCTGTCATGCTTTGGTTTCATTTACTAAATTTGTAAGATTTTTACTGAGGATAGCAGATGCTGGAGACAGCTTGTACCTATGCAAGATGCAGGTACTTAGCAGACTACAGAAGACTTCTTTGTATGAATTAGTTTAGCTGGGGAGTTTTTATTATGTAGTTTTGAAGGTGAACGTCATTCCACAGGGAAGCTGGATGCCTTCATGGAAGTTCTCCCACTGGGGACTAGCCAGATAGGTGCTGTCTGTGAGGAGTGAGTGCAGGCACTGCAGACTGCAGTGGGAGAATGAGGTGTACTTGTGGTCCTGGGCTGTCAGTGCTAAACTGCACAGGGATGACATAAATGGACGTGTAGTGAGGCCTCGTGTGGGTCTTCCACTTACGTGCTGTTAATATTTAGCATGTCTGGGGTTTGTTGAATTTTTTTTTTCTTTGTCGTTTTGGTTCTTGTTTGTTTGTTTTTATGGGGGGAGGATGCTGGGTGATGGCTATAGAACAGGAGGATTTGTCTGTTGGGGAGGGCATCAGAACTCACTTTTTGCAGTGCTTGAATATCATTACCAAATGAGACTTTACAGGCCCTGTTTCTTTCCACGCTTATCTTGGGAGTTTTAAATCTGGATGGACAGAGATGTTATGAGGATGGGTGTCTGGGGCTCCTGGTCTGTGGTCCCACGTATGGACCTTTTGATCCCTCTTTTTACTTCAGTGTTAGCATTTCATTGGTAAGGCTCCCCAGGTTTCGTCTTTGTTTTGTTTTCAAAGGAAAAGGTCAAGAAATTTGAGGATGGTGTTAATCTCTATGAGTGGGAGCACTATTCTCCAGTTCATGAAGACTTCTGTAATGGTGAAAGGACCTCTGCTTTTTTTTCCTATAATCAATGAGGATTGAACACAGAAACAATCCTCTGCTTCAGAAAGATGTAGTTTTAATTCCGATAGTTTTGAAGGAGGAAAAAAAAAAGGGGCTTTGAAAGCAGTTTGTTATAATAAAGAGGGAAGTCCCTGCTTTATTTGTAAGGGCTTACCATACTTTCCTAATTCAAAATAGTCACATTTCATGCTGTGTTTATAGTTCACAATGAATAGAACAATGTTGTAGTAATAATTGTATGAAGTAAAGTTAAGAACAGATTTTAAAAATCCTGTTATTGGAGGTGTTCAGTTGCAGGGTTTTTGAAATTAATAATGAGCAGACCAGAAAAGTGAATAAGACACTTGAGAAATGCTAAGGAACATTGGTATTGAGGTGTTTTTACTATTATTTTGGAAAGGGGAAGGCACTATTCTTGGTAAATATGTTTTTGCTTTTAACGACTAGAAGGCACAAGTGGAGGTAAATTCTATTCGTATTAGAGAGAATTTGGCATCTCAAAAACTTGCCAAAGTCTTGGAGGCTTGGCTCAAGCAGAGCTTGTTGTTGCTATGAGATCCTGAAGCCCTCTATAATGAGGTGGATTGATGCTGCTGCTCGTGTTTCCTTTGCTGTCCCAATGGTCAGAAGCTTATCTGTCACCTTATTTTTTGAGAACTGATGCCTAACGTACTGCAGAGCAGGAAATTGTCTGGGTGATGCTACGTTTTCCTGACTTTTTAATTTTTTTTTAATAGGGAATCAAGTTGTAAATGAAGCATGGGAATGCATGTGTGTGTTTTCTAACTGGAGTCTGACAAGGATGCTTTTTATTTCAGGGCAAATGACCCAGCTTTGTGAGCTGATCAATAAAAGTGGAGAACTGCTAGCAAAAAACCTCTCCCATCTGGATACAGTGCTTGGTGCCCTGGATGTGCAGGAACACTCGTTAGGAGTTCTTGCTGTCTTGTAAGTGTGGCTTTCCTTTAAGTAAGCATTTTAGCATCAAAATTTCAAGCTACATGCTGAATTGCCAACCAGACATAAGTATCTTCAGTCTGTTGTAGAATAGTACTTAGTTTCCTTTGGTGATATGCCTTTTATTAAAGAAATGTTAAAGCAAATTTGTACTTCCAACAGAAAAAAATCTGGAGCCTGTAAAATATCATTGCTGCCAAATGGTGATGTTGGAGGTTTGTTTTCCTTAAGGCTGTATCTAGTTGTCTTTATGTCTGTATGACTGTTTTTATGTACCAGTTCAGCAAAAATTTTTAATTGGCAGGACATGAGTGAGCCAAACTGTAAGCATGAAGCCATGTGCAGAGTTCTCATGGCACTCAGTGTAATCACAACTCATAACAGAAGCAGTGTGCAGCCTACAGCACAGGGTACTGAGGAGCCAGCAGGGATGGAGAGAAGGAGCTCTTAGCAAGACATACAAGTCTAATCATTTAATAGTTGAAAAATCTGTGACACATTCAAGCAGGAGTCTGGAGAAGTTATATGGTTTAGTATAAAAATTTCACTGTTAGCAATTTATTGTGATTGTAATTGTAGCAGATAAAGTGATCTTTGTTGGCCGTAGTTAGTTCCAAACTAGTTTTTCACTGGATTCATAGTAGGACTATGCACTAAAAGTGTACTTCCAAGTGCTGTGCAGCTCCTGGAGAAACCATATGCCATCTGTCATGACCACTTTGGCACTTCTTGCAAGCAGCTACCTATATCTGCAGAGTCTAATTAAGATAAAACTTTTTTTTTCTTTAATTAATCTCTAAACATTGTGTGTTAAACTTTTTTCTGGGTCTTGTTTTAGGTTTGTGAAGTTTTCTATGCCCAGCATCCCCGACTTCGAAACATTATTCTCACAGGTGCAGCTCTTCATCAGTACTTGTAATGGGGAGCACATTAGATATGCAACAGACACTTGTAAGTTAATTCAGCACTTTATAGAAAAATCTTTATGTATATTGATATAGTTTGGTATTGATTTTCTTTTTTTACTGAATTCTTTTGTTTGTTTGTTTTCTCTGTTTAGTTGCTGGCCTGTGCCACCAGTTAACAAATGCCCTTGTGGAGAGAAAGCAGGTGAGCAAGTATCATCTAGTACAAATAAGGAACCTACAAAGCCAGACTCTTAAGAAGGTTGTTACTTGCTTCATAAAGAATTACTGCTAACTTCATGCAAAGTATTTTTATGTGGTTCCTTATGTATGTTAAGTGTACTGAGCAGTAATGAACCTAAAAGGAGATTTTAAAACCTCCTTAAGGAAAATATACATTAAAATTTGGGGGAGGAGTTAGCTAAAAACATGCTCTCTCACGCAAACCAGGAAATCAGGTGTACCAGGTATGTTATTCAGATGGAGTGTGTGTGTGTGAGGAGGGGAGAGCTGCAAAAACTAATAGAGCCAGTGAGTCAGAGATGTATTTCAGTGTTATTCTCACCAGTCTAATGCAGTGTGCTTAATGAAATGCCTTAAAATGTAGGGGATGTTTGTTTTTAGGGATAAGATACTGAAAATGCCTTGGAGAAGTAAGTTAAATGTAGCTTGAAATAAGAAATCAAATCTGGACTAAGTGAAGTGAAGCAGGAGCTTTGCCTTTATTTGCTAGGAATTTAGATGTAATCATGGAGTCAAGAAAAGGTTTACTCAATACAATTTACTGTTTTCCTGGTGAACTTGTCTTTGTGGAGCAGAATTGGTGACTTTGTTTAGTTTATCAGGAGAATTTATACACCACAGGATAATTTTATTTTCTGAGTGACTGCAATATCCTACAAAAAGGGAACCACAAGTTAATTATTACTTACTGGAACCTGTCAATTAGTGTTATTTTTCATTTGTAAGTGTCAACATAAGATCCAATGTGCTGCCATCTATGAGAAATTATCTGAAAGAGATGTAATTTCTGACAGCCCCTGCGAGGAATTAGCATTCTCAGACAAGCCATAGACAAGATGCAGATGAACACAAACCAGCTGACCTCAATACATGCAGATCTCTGCCAGGTAAGGAGAGCACAGGGCTTTATTCTGAGAGTGAAAGCCTGTAGATTACTTATAGCTATGTGAGAAATGCACATCTACATATTGCAGTGTAAAGAAAGCTTTTAATTGTGGTTTAGGGTTTTTTGATTTTGTTCTTTAATTCTTTTCCAGTAGTCAGTAATACGGCATACTGAAATAAAACTCCCTTCTCTTCCTTCTAAATGTTCAGTGCGTGTCCGCAGGTCTTTGGTTTTGTTCATGACTTCTGAAAACCCTTCTCTCTGGGCCGGAAGTCATGCACAGCTTCTTTTAGACAGTGTAAGTGTACTGGCCAAATACTGTTTGCTTGAGTTTGACAAAAGGCATGCTTGTCTCCATGTCTTTGGCCTGGATTTGCACTTCTGTCTCATTCTTGGCTCCTGGGACTTAGAGTTGGATGAGAATATTTAGTGCAATATTGAGTGCTGCCAGCACGGTAGCCTGAAAGGCCTGGAGTTTCAGGCTGCTTTATTGGTTAGTCTCATTTCTTTAGGATTCAAATGATTTATAGAAGTTCACAATCTGTGTTTTTTCCAAATACCACAGTACAATGTATAATCTGTGTTATGCCTCTACTGTGACATACACTGTTTTTTAACTTTCAGAGGAGTGAGGTGTATTACATACTACTGAATGAATTGTATTTCAATGTCATCTTCATGGATATTTGAAATAGCTAATTTATAAAAACTTGATTTGTTTTCTTGTAGCTCTGTTTGTTAGCAAAATGCTTTAAACCTGCCCTCCCATATCTAGATGTGGACATGATGGATATTTGTAAAGAAAATGGGGCATACGATGCAAAGCACTTTTTATGTTATTACTACTATGGTGGGATGATATACACTGGGCTAAAGAACTTTGAAAGAGCACTCTACTTCTATGAACAGGTAACTTTAATTAAAACTGATCATTCTGAATTGTGGTGAATTGAAAAGCAAAAGTGGGATGTGTGATACCACTGAGATAATGAGTCATCTTTGAATTGCCACGAAGGACAAATAGAAAGCTGTGTACTCAGTGTTAAGTACAAGCAGTCTGATTATTTTCGTTCTTAACCTTTAGGATGCAGTTCTATTAATAGATCTGTGCTTCTGTTCATCATTCACACAGGTTTTGCTTTTGTATGTGTGTGCATTATAACTGTGCATAAAAACTGACTGGGGTTCGTTTTCATTTATCAGCTGTATCATGAAGAGTATAGACTAAATGATACTCTTGGTGTACAGAGTGAAGTAACAAACTGAATTTAGAAGCGTTATCTTCTTAGAAAGTCCCAGCCAAGCAACTAATGTACCATAAAGCTATGCAACTCAAAGGTTGATGTTAAATTTATCTCACTATAAATATTTTCAAGTGCTTACTTATTACTGCTGACATAGAAACAGGCTGGTGCTCAGAACTGTGTATTTTCAAAGAGCACTGTGGCTTTGCTTCTGACCTCTGTCAGTTTTTTGATGGAAGTTACACTTTGTGCCTATTATAATAATGACAGCTTTACGTTCTTCTATGAAAGAAAAGAGAATGACAAAATTCAGAAAACTCAGTGAAGAAAAACTTTTGTCAAATGTGCAAAATAAACTGCTACAGCATTTCTCTGTAAGCAAGGGTGAGCTGTTAAGTAGCAGTATTGGGGTGAACTAAAATCCCTTCTTGCTGTTCTGCAAGCCTCTTCCATCATGGTTAAATAAGAGATTGCATAATATAATCTCTGTGAAATCTTTCTAAGGATGTGTGTAAATTCAGCTCTTACAGGAACCGTATAATCATTCCTTGTAACAAGTAGCCACTGGTGATTTACAGTACAACTTTAGATACATATCAAACAAAGAGATTTTGCTTTGATCTTAACAGGGTTTTTTAAGTTAGGCATTACTGTAATATATGATGTTTTGAGTAGTTCATATAGAACTTTTATTTTTTTTAGGATGTTTTTGGATAATTACCTTTGATAGAAGTTAAGCTGTAATGCTCAATGCATTACAATGCATCCTTTGTACATACAGTTTTAAAGTGAGATGTTGTTAATGTAGCTATTGCAATTTACCAATGCAAACATTAAACTTGTTTCATTTCTTTTTCTCTTGCTTAGGCAATAACTACTCCAGCCATGGCAGTTAGTCATATTATGTTGGAATCATATAAAAAGTATATTCTAGTTTCTTTGATACTACTTGGCAAAGTTCAACAGCTACCAAAATATACTTCCCAGATAGTTGGTAGGTTCATTAAGGTAAGTCTTGCAAAAGCAGTTAAATCACAGTGCAATGCATGTGGATAATAAAAAAAAAATTGTATTGCAGGCATTTTTCTACCCTCATTTGATGATACTGTTCAATGTTGCACGTTCTTGTTTTTCTAGTCTACTGTGGCTGAAGATTATAAATGATATTGTTCATATTGGAAATAAGGATCTTTATATTTTTTTTGTTTAAAATAAAAAAAGAGAGAGAGAAAAAGATCTTTTGAGTTGAGTAGGACTTTGTAATTACCAGTATTCTCTTCACTGATATTGCACATCCCTTGATAACCTTTTACTTTAGAACTCAAAGATAAGTTGACGAGTTTCACTTGGCATTCAATATGCAATTCAGTATGAATATATGATTGTGTTGTCCATGCTGTGATTCACTGGGATCAGAGCTGATAGTGTCTTAGAGATTAAAACAGATATTATGAATAAACTGTGAATGCTATGCTACTGAAGTTAGACTCAGCTTTCTTCATCTGATAGTCAACCAAAGGCTCTTTTCCTGCTTTTTTTTTTTTAATTACTAAGATTGTCATATGCTGGTCCTTGAACAGTGCTTATTAGGTCTTACATTGCTTTAATACAGATTGACTGGACAAGGATCTGTTGTTTCCCTACAGACCTGCATGGGCATCACCTATATTTTGAGAGGCACTTGAGCTACTTTAATTTTTTTTGCCTGCATGGCTTCTTATGTTGAAGTAGTGACTTGAATTTGTAAGGCTGGTTGAGCACCATGTTCTTTAAGAAGAGTTCTCATTTTTCTAATTGCAGCCCCTTAGCAATGCTTACCATGAATTAGCACAAGTTTATTCTACCAATAAACCCTCGGAGCTTCGAAATCTGGTGAACAAACACAGTGAAACATTCACAAGGGACAACAATATGGGGCTGGTTAAGCAATGCTTGTCATCTCTCTACAAAAAGAATATTCAGAGGCTAACCAAGGTAAGATGTGTAAGATGTGCAGGTTGAAATTTATTCACATTTGTGCAAAATGATGATATAGTCGTGTCACAGTGAAACAACTGAAACAGATTCATGTGTGTGAAGTACCATTATGAGACTTTAAGATGCTTTAGGTAGAAAACCAATTCAATTAGCTGCTTGAACATTAGTGAAAAGGTGGTTCAATAAGCCTCTATCAGAGGGTTTTGTGTACAGCCATAGATGGTGGTATTCAGCTGTATATCTGCTTACCTGCTTTCTTTTTGCACAGAAGCTTCCAAACCTTACTATCTGTGGCAATACTCTGATTTAAGTCAACAGTTTTGCTACAGGGAATGAGAGAGCTTAGCCCATGGTCATTTCACACGTAATCAAAAAAGTCATGAACACTAATAACCCGTAATCTCCATCTTTGTTAAAAAATAGGAAACCTGAACTTCATAGGTTACTTCGTTAGACGAGAATGAGTGAATAGCATGGATTCTGAAAGTGTCAGGTAAAAGAAATGCAGACGTAATGTAGTGATCTGGTCCTTAGCTGAAGAGGTGATTAATCCTTAAGAGGGATCAGGGGAAGCTCTCTCTTTCTTAAGCTCAAACAATATTTGCTGCAGTAGAAGTAACTTTGGAAGTAGTGCAATATATGCAATTCTTGATGGAAATTTAAGGGTAGACAGTTGCCTTATTTAGGTTTGAATGTGGGGTAAGAGGTTGGACATGATCACAACTCTTAAGGGACAGAAAGAGATTGCAGAAATGAAGTAATGACTCCACGAGTTTGGCCTGCATTCATGCACAGTATAGCAAACTAGAATCTTTGGAGTAAGAACTGGCACTGCTGTCATGATGCTTTTGTAAGTAACTAGAGGTATGCGTTCTGCTTGTTTCATCCCATCCAACTTCAAAAATAAGACTGTTAGGCCATGAAGGATTGACAAGAGAAGTTCTTAGTGTATAATTTCAGTGGCTTGTTGTTTTTTTAATTTCAGACATTTTTAACATTGTCATTACAAGACATGGCAAGTCGAGTTCAGTTGTCAGGGCCCCAAGAAGCAGAAAAGTACGTCCTCCACATGGTAAGACTTGTAACTTGACTAAATTGTCCTAACTTAAATATTGATCCAGTGTAAGACTGTCTCATTTGGCAGTGTGTATTTGATTGGCAGAAGAATGGTTCTGTTTCATGTTGAATGAAATCCCGCAAGGAGTTGTAGAGACCTGAAATTCTGTTCTTGGTGATACTTTATTTTGAACTCTTTCGTTTCAGATAGAAGATGGTGAAATCTTTGCAAGTATTAATCAGAAGGATGGTATGGTCTGTTTCCACGATAATCCTGAGAAGTATAACAATCCAGCTATGCTTCATAACATTGATCAGGAGGTAAATCTGCAAGATTTTTAATGCTTCTGGAATTCCTACTGAATAACTACTGTTATTTTTAATAACTCATTCCTACTGAATAGTCTGAAATCAGATGCTGGGAGAAGTCAGCGTAGGTAACTTACACGTAGGGATGGAGAACTATGAATTGTTACTATTTCATAGTACCAGAATTTAAGTTTTAGATTGATAGTAATTAGTTATGACTTTCCTGCTTTATCTTCTGTACAGCTTGAAACATTTCAATAGACTGACTGCTTATTGTTGATGATGTGAAGTTCTTTAAACTGGCTGGATTAGAAGGACTGTTCAAGGCTCAGTTTGGTTGACAATGATATGCCTGTAGTTCGAGGTCACTGACCCTCATGGAGCTTTAAATCAGTGGCTTTAAAAAGGATTGTTGGGATGATATTAATTAAAACAGGGGAACAAAAAGTGATGTGATGCTTTCATTTAGGAGATGAAGGCAAAGAGCATTTTGACATGGAATTTTTGCGATGGCAAATGTTATCAGCTCTCCATAGCACAGCCATGAAGTATCTTGAAGATCTTTTACGAGCTGGACGAAGCAATCAGTTTAGTATGTTTTGTTGTTGTTGTTTCTTTGTTTTTTAAGATGCTGAAATGTATAGAGCTTGATGAACGACTGAAAGCCATGGATCAAGAGATCACTGTGAACCCTCAGTTTGTGCAGAAGGTAATTGATTTAACGTTTTGTCAGAATATTTAAGAAATTGAGTGTAGTGAATACGTTGTACTGAATGTTTGCATTCATAGTGCTAGTAATAATACATCAGTGTAATGTGCATAAACATCGTGCTTTAAAATAAAAAGGAAGTGCATGTTATTTCATATCCACTTAATTTCCATCCCTATTAACTTCAAAGAGAAGTCTGTCTCAAAGGTAATTCTTCAGACCTGTTTTTGAAGAAATAACTCTTTATCTTTCAGAGTATGGGCTCTCAAGAAGATGACTCAGGGACCAAACCATCCAGTTATTCCTGAAATTAATGTTGCTCACTACTCCGCTTTCAAGTAAAAGCTTAAGAGAATCACGCCTGGAATAGGGCATTGAGGAGTTCCATGAAGAGAGCAGAGAGAACTGAGCTTTGCTTTTCACCTGGACATTGAGAAAATAAAAGAACACCCTCTCAGTACTGTATAATTTCAGAAATATTCTCCGCAAAGAAAAAGGAAATCTCAAAAGAAACCTAAAAGTCTGTTGTGGATTTATTTATCTTCAGATTAACATCGTTAATGCATTAAATAATCTACCTTTTGTTTTAAAGGTTTTGAATGTTGCTGTGTTTCTGTAGCAGTCCTTTTTCCTCCTCTGCAGGAAAAAAAAAAAGTGTTATTCAGGGAAGAATGCGAACTAGCATTGGTTCATTTACAAGATAATTACTGTTCATTTTGTATTTAAATTTGGCTCGAAGGGCAGATATATGTACGGTGGGGGGGAGAGGGGTGGAGCTTAAGTAAAATTCTCTACATCATAATTTGCATTACTTAGTGTAGTTGGCTGCTGTCTCAAATGATGAAATAAGAACCATGTTCTTCTTGAAAGGTATTAACAAGTCCTTGGTAGGTGGCTGCTGAAAAGCGAAATTTGCCTTAGGGAAACCATACATGAGAGCTGTTTTGATTTTAAACTTCTGGTACAAAATACTTCCTAATAACGTTTGCTCTTGGATCAAATTTACTAGGCCTAAACAAGGATAATTGGAAGACCTGGGTGTTCTGGAGGATGCTGGCTATCAAGTTGTTCACGCTGAAAGAAGTTTAAATTTTTGTTCCTATACAATCAGCATGAAGGTATTCAATACGCTACTGTTTTTCTGTGGTGGAAATCAGTTCTAAGTGAAGGCCGTGCTATAGATCCTTTCTTTGTTTCTAAAAATGATTCTTCTTGATGGAATTCTATACAACTCATAAAAAACAGTTTTATTTGGATCTAACTTGCTGGAATGACATCTAGTTATTAATTCACTATTTCAAACAAATAGATTTTTGTTGGATTCTTTAAGGGTTTCACTTCTTAAATCAATGGGATTTTTATTTTTCTGTAGCTCTCGCGTATCTGAAGATTCTGACTGTTCAAACACCTTTGAGATACTTCACATCAGTGCAAATCTCCTACTATCAGGCATACATAAACCTGTCATCAAGGCAGAATGTGTGAAGCTCAGCATCTACTGCTTCCTGCTTAAACATCTGAATAGGAGCTGCTTGCTACTGCTAACCTGCCAGCTTTTGTCAGGTGTCAAAGTGGGAGCAAAGCATTTCTGGCTCTTGCCGTGTTAAATTTGTCTGTATTGAGGTCACCCGTGGTTGAAAATAACCCATTTGTGCTTCCAGTGCAGATACAGAACTGTTGGGGTTTTCATTTAAAACTGGTCTCTTAATTCTAGCAGAGCCTCTGTGGCAGTGGTACGCTTTCTAGAAGACAACTGTGTTGTTCTCTAGGTGGCAAATGAAGTTTTTAAAAGCATAAAATAGCAATTTAGTAGTGAACACAGCATAAGTCCATAGTGTTAGTTGTTCACCATTGAGAATTTGTGCTTCCTATCACTGACTTCCATATTTAAAGGCAAATTTTACACCTAAACTCGCCTTACTGGTCTTGTAATTAAATATATTTATGATTTTTAGTGTGTTTTTTTTTTTTTCCCTAGTTAATCCTGCAGTGATTTCAGTGCTGAAAATGCTTATGCAACTTTTTGCTCTGGTACTGTAGAAGTGTTAAAAGCTGATGAGCTGTGCTGTGGGCTCAGGCACGAAGCTGGGTTATGGAAATGTTTACAATTGTGTGCAGTAGAGTACTGCAAATGACTAATCCTAAACTGCCATGTAAACAGAAATGGTGATGGCTCACATTTCATTGCCAAAGGCTCACCTGCCAGGAGAAGAATGTATGCAGAATGCTTTCATGAAGCCTGAGAAGAACCAGAAATGTTCTCTCTGCAGTGGCTGAGCTTTTGTATTGCTGGTTCCTATTAGTAAGTGTGGACATTCTGAGAGCTGGTAAATGGCTTTATATCTGTGGAATTACAAGCAAATTAGTAGATGCACCTGGCAAATAGCAGCTATTTCCTTTGTTTCTTTTCATAACGTAGGTAAAATAAACTGATACTGCACATCAAAAGGGATGGTAGACAGATGTATGTAGTATTTTCAAATGATATATGACACTATTTTTCTTAATCTGTTTTTTTATAGAGGCACATTTTTAGTTGCTGTTGGAAAATTTGAAGTCAGGTCCCACCTGTAGGAAGTATTCACCAAAAGTGCTTTGGGGAAGGGCTTTTTAAATAATGGTTTGATTAAATGCATAAGGTCTAGCGTCTGCATGTCTCGAGATGCTGTTGAAATTAAGTCAGATTTTTAATGAAGAAGCTCCTTCAAGTCTTGGAACTAATTGCATGGACTGTGGTGAGCTGAGATGCTTTGAGAACACTTGAGCTTTCTGGTTTTAATTTGTATTTATTGCAAGGAAGGACTCTTGATCAAATGTAAGAACACTGTGTGCTATGCTTCTCTGAAGTTCAGACTCTCAGAAGGCCTGTGGCTAGTTCTTCCCATTGTGCATGGCCAGAAGATGTGCTCACAAAATCCTGAGTGCATGCTTTATATCTAACTCATAATTTCATGCATCATAATTTGCAAAGAGAGAAAGTGCAGCTCTGAAGGGAGCCCTAGACTTGCAACTACAGTTCTTAGCCACAGGAGGGGGGTCCAGTTCAGTCATGCTTAGCTGGTAATAAAATGATGTGGAAGTTTTTTTTGTTGTTTTTAAAGAAAAAAGGCTAGAATCTGCATACAAGCACCCCTTCTGTTTTTGTTTCACACAAGAGCCCTAGTTACTGACCTTTGCTAACACACCTGTAGTGCTGCCATCGCACCACGTGCTTCTGCATAACTCAGGTTGCCTCCTTCTAAGGCAACTCCCCACCTCTACTAGACAGTACAACTGCAACCCATTGTGTGTGTTGTCATAGGTGATCTGTGTAACTTAGGAAATGTTTTCTGCATGGCCACACCAGCTGAGGAGGTTAGTCCTGAGAAGTTGTTTAAATGTACTATTGGAAAATAAAGATAACAAATGAGTCATTCTTAGTTTGTCTTAAATGGTTGGCCTGAAAGAATGAGATAGTAAGGCTTTTGGATTTGCATTTTTCTCTAGTGTTTTTTTTGGGGGGGGGGGGGGGGTCTTTGTTCATGATTGTGGCTGGCAGCAGGAGGCTGCTAGGTGTCCGTGTCCAGCACTGCCCTGTGCTCAGGAACTGCTCTGGTGGCTTCTCAGAGCTCTCAACGAGTAGAACAAACAGTTTCATTTCTCTGCCCACAGTCTGTCTGTTTGGAAAATGCTGCTATGGGCCCTTGGCCAGCACTGGCTCTGGGATCAGGTGGACTTTGGATCAGATGTTTGCTGCACGTGGGGGTTTTTGTGTTCAGAGCTGATCTTTGTGTTGCGAGCACCGTCTGACCAGCTGAGTATTGTTTTCTTCAGCAGGTCAAGTCTTTAGTCCACACGTGGCTGCTGGTACCCACAGCTGTGCTGTATCAGTAGCAGCGCTGGCTGCTGCTCCTCAGGATTTAATTGCCCTGCAGTGTTACAAGCTGTGCTCTGCAGAACGACCTTGGTTGTGATGCGAGGGCCTTTAGGACTTGAATCTTAGACATCAACCCCGATATAAAAAGGTTGGCGGAGAAATCCAGCAATTGCTTATTTTGAGGCTGGAAAGCACCAAAGATCCCAGGCTGAGGGTCTGCTTTGCCCATTCCCAGACCTTCAGCCCCTGCGGCATCGCTGGAGCTGCTCAGCAGAGGACCAGCATCGTAGCACAGTGTTACTTTTAACACAGGTGAGGTGTCTACTCCCTTTCTCGGATCTGGAGCTACCCGTGTACGCGTCTAGCTGCCGATAAAGGCAGATGCACCTCAGCCCCCCGCTTCTTAAGTTCTGCGCCCTCAGAAGGCGGCACTGCTGGAATGAGGGCACCGCACTGCGCACGCGCACGGCCGCCCCGCCCCTTCCCGCCCTCCCGGTGGCTTGCGATCACGTGACCGCGCCGCGGGCCGCACCACCTGGCGGGGGTTTGAGGGAGGGAGGGAGCAGCACCGCTCTGCCCGCAGCGCCCGGCCGGGAGCGCAGGTGGCGGCCAAAGGCCGGGCCCCGCAGGTCGAACATTATAGTCTTCTGTGTTCGGCCCGACGGTAGTTTGGGGTACGGCGAGGGAAGGAAAGAAGGAGGGTCGGCCGGAGCTTCTCGTGTCACCCCCCTGCGCTCCGAGCAGTGGCTGCGCCCAGCCCCGTGACAGGGCGGCTGCGGGCCGCGGTCATTGCCGCTGCCGCGGGGGGGAGGAGGGCATCGAGAGCCTCGTTGGCGGTCCGCCCGCGTCCGGCCGGCAGCTGCGTCCTCGCCCCGATCCGTCTCTATCCTCGTCCCGCTCCTCGCCGCTCTTTGGCGGCGGTTGAGCAGCGGGGAGCTGCCCGCCCTCCTCCTCAGCCCCCCCCGCGGCCCGGTGGGATGGTACGGGCCGGCGGTCAGCGTGTGTCAGCTGCCCGCAGCCACGGGACGGGCCGGGGCGGGGAGCCCGGAGCCGCGGTGAGCGGGAAGGGGAGCGGAGCTGGGGGTGAGCGGGGGCTGCGCTGGGCTGGGCTGCGGCTGAGGGAACCGGGCGCTGAGCGGGGCCGGGCCCGGCCGGGTGGCAGCCGGGGTGCCGGGGTGGGCACGCAGCGCCTGGCCGGGCCTGGGGGCCTGCAGCGTTAGAGCGAGGGGGAACGGCTTTAGGCTGGAAGAGGGGAGGTTTAGGTTAGATGCGAGGGGGAAATCCTTCGCTCAGAGGGCGGTGAGGCGCTGGCACTGCTCCCACAGCGCTGGGTGCCCATCCCTGGAGGTGCCCGAGGACATGGGTGGGCCCTGAGCAGCCTGAGCTGGGAGGGCAGGCAGCCCGTGGCAGGGGTGGGGCTGGATGAGCTCTGAGGTCCCTTCTCACCTCAGCCGTTCCATCAATTTGGCCAAAGCAAACTTGCAGGGAGGTCTTTAAGGGTGGCTGGGCACAGAAGCGTTGGTCCTGCCCAGTCCCATCCCAGCAAAGGCTGAGGTGTCTAAATGCTGGGTGATTGTCTTGCTCTGGGCCTGTCCTGTCAAGGCCTGAGGTATGAGCACACCCCAGAGTGGAATTGTGCTGGACATCATCTGAGCAGCTCTTGGCAGGACATAGATCAGCATTCACACCCAACAGGCCTAGGGGGTGTTCTGACAGCTGTTCTTATCAGCAGTTTGTATTTATAATATAAATATATATATTTTATCACTCATCTGCAGGAGACCCTGACGGATGTGCTGAGCTCTCGCTATGAATGCTATTGTTGCCCTCTGCCATTTCTGTGAGCTCCACGGTCCCCGCACCCTCTTTTGCACTGAGGTTCTACATTCACCGCTCCCTCAAGGTGCAGGCAGCGGGGACATCTCTGGGCAGAATGAGCAAGCGGAAGAGGAGGAAGGAGGCATCCAGATGAGCAGCAGGATCCGCTCACACAGCCCAGCTGAAGGTGCCAGTGCTGACTCCAGCAGTCCAGGGCCAAAGAAGTCAGACATGTGTGAGGCAAGTGTGAATACCTGTGCACAGACCATCATTGTTTCTTTGCTTCACTAAAGGGCTCTTGGGTTCTCTGATTCAAATTGCTTTGTTTAGGAGGAAGGAAAAACACACATGAACTACTCCTATACTTTCATGTAACTGATGGTACTAAAAAAGTCCTTACAAACTGCAGTGACCCATGACAGAAATTGAAGGAACTGTTATTAAGTAAATAGACTTTGGCTAGATTCTTTGTTGAGGTCTTTTTAGGCCTTATGTGCGTGATTCTCATGTGTCTGATAAATGCTTCCCTCAGACTTCAAGGGTTTTTGCTTCATTAGACCAGATTCCAACATTGATGATTAAGAGTAATCTTTAGCAGCAATGTCAAACAGGGATCAGAAAAAAAAAAAAACAACCTCAAAGCTATTAAAATGGCAGAGAAAATCTATGTTCTCAGTTGTTCTTTTGTGTGGCTACTATTAGCACTTGATCTGAGCTATTTGTTATTTACTTTCTTTGAGGTTATGGCCAGTGCTTTTGTTGGCCAGTTGGTTTCACAGTTGCTGTTAACTGACTTGTACTGCTTGCAGAGCCATCGCCATCAAATTCACAATCAAGTTCAGGAGTGGAAAACTGGCATAGAAAATATATTGCACAGAGTGCAATTTGAGGATCTGAGTCCAAGTGCTGATCCTGACTCAAATTGTTTTTGTTCTGAATGCTTGAGCTTATATTTGTATATGTAAATAATGCTACCCTATGTTTTGAAGGGAAAATGCAGAGGCAGTTGGAAACCTTAGACATTTGCATGTCCATTTATGCTTGGATTTGCTTTTCTATCTTCAGGGTTGCCGCTCTCTTGCAGGAGGACATCCTGGATTTGTCAGCCATGACAAGGAGACTTCGATCAAGTATGTCAGTCACCAACACCCCAACCATCCCCAGCTGTTCAGCATTGTGCGTCAGGCCTGCGTTCGCAGTCTGAGTTGTGAGGTAACTCTCTGGGAGTACAGGAAGAAATCCTGTTTAGGTCCTGACACACTGTTTTAAATCCAGCATGCTGCTTTGCTGATCTTAGCTGCACTGTACAGTCTGGAAGAAGGAGGGAATGGAGGTGGAAAGAAAGATGTAAAGTCTGTTTGTTCTGGGATTGGTGGGAATTTTTAAGGATGATCTTTGATAACCTCGGGGATGCTTTCCTCTTGATTTCTGAGATGTTAAAGTTTTCTTATTTTCACTCCCGTGCATTTATTGTTGGTTGTTTCTTGTGTGTTTTTAATATAAACTGATAAATTGTTTGTGTAAAAATGCTGGCATCTCTTGCTTTGTATTGAGAAATAATGGGCCTTTATAGACCACCAACATTCAGCATGTCATATAAGTGAAGGGAGAGCCTTACAGACTAGTGTTTGTGTGCCAGGATCAGCAATTTCTTGTGATTTCTCCACAATTTTGTAGATGAATTGAGCTAAATCTGTAAAATAAAGTCAAATTGAAGGCTTTATTGTGTTTGTAGAGGCCTGCTTGACCACAGGTTTTGGATAGCAGCCTTAAAAAAAAAAAAACAGCTTGTTTTATTCATCAGATGTCTGTTAAATAGCAGCAAGCTTTAGTTATACAGTTCATTACTCATCCAGCTGAGCTTATGTGGTCTGTATGTCCCTTCCATTCAGGTCTGCCCAGGACGTGAAGGGCCTATATTTTTTGGAGATGAACAGCATGGTTTTGTGTTCAGCCACACCTTCTTTATCAAAGACAGCCTGGCCCGAGGTTTCCAGCGCTGGTACAGCATCATCACTATCATGATGGACCGGATTTACCTCATCAACTCATGGCCTTTCTTGTTGGGAAAAATCAGAGGCATCATCGATGAGCTTCAGGGCAAAGCACTTAAGGTGGGTCAGCAAGTGAGTCCTTTTGGCTCAGCATTAATACAGCATTGTGGTAGTTTTTTGCATCTTAATGCAAAAGCTGCTCTTGCTCACTGCACTCAGGTTAGTCTTTAAGGTTGACACAAGGAATAAAAGGACTGTGTGTATCTGGGTGTATAGGAGAGAGGGGACAGGCCACTTTTGTCCTTTTAAGCCATCTGTGATGTTTTTCAGATTCCAAACTGCCACACAATAGCTCTGTTAGAATTTAAGTACCCAAAGCAGTGAAGGACAACATTTTGGGAACGGGTGTGTTACTCAGTGATAATGTAAATCAATCTAAGAATAAGGTGTTTTTTTCCTTCCCTCATTATTTGCAGTGTATTTGAACGACTGTGTTTGATGCACCCATTTCACTAGTGGGTGTTCCTTAGCGTTTTGGTGGTTTTAGTTTTCTGTCAGCACTTTATCAGACTGTCACACTGTCCTCCTTCTGTGCTGCAGGTGTTTGAAGCAGAGCAGTTTGGGTGCCCTCAGCGTGCCCAGCGGATGAACACAGCATTCACCCCCTTCCTGCACCAGCGCAATGGCAACGCAGCCCGCTCCTTAACATCACTGACCAACGATGAGAACCTGTGGGCATGTTTACACACTTCCTTTGCTTGGTAATGCCACTTGTGTTTCTAGCTTCTAGAACTCCCTCACAAAGAAAAATATTGCCATTTTTTTTGAAAGGGTGGAAATGTTTGGGTTGTTTCTCTTGATGCAGTAAGCTGGACTTTGCTAAGAAGTCTCTGAGTTAGAGGAAGCTAAGCAGAGAAAGCCTCGTGGTGGCTTTAGGACAAAAATAGTTCTTGTTGCTGTGAAGTAAAGCTCCTTATGGAAAAACTGAAGTACGAGGAAAAGCAGGGAAAAATGCAAGAAAAGACACTCCCACACCTCAGTGTGTTTGCTCATCAAAATTCCCTGGAAAGATGCCACAGAAAGGGATGCAGTGCTGGCATGTGACTTGAATGGGGGATAAATGTGTTGCACAAGGTCATTGCAAAAGGTAGGCCTTTCAGCTGTAAGATGCACTGGTAGTTAGGACAAAGGAACATATAGGTGTGTCAATAAAAAACACATATTGGTTAATGGTTGAATGTTTTGTTATACCAGATTTCTTTCTAAATTTTGTCACTTAGCAAGCAGGGTTACTAAATGCTGCTTCCACTTGTTTTTCAATGTTTCCAGGCTTCTGAAAGCTTGTGGCAGCCGACTTACAGAAAAACTTCTGGAGGGAGCTCCAACTGAAGACACCCTTGTTCAGATGGAAAAACTTGCAGGTGAGGTCAGAGTTTCCAGAGCTGGAAAATCCTTTAAGAATGCTGTGACTGGTAAAACACCAAAATCTTTTGCCAGCATATTAAGTGCAACTGTCTCTCTTGGACTTCACCTTCATCAGCCCTACAGTAGCTGATGTGCTTTCCCATATGCCTGTGACTGCCAGGAATGTGAAATCAAGGCCTTTGGTATTGTAGGCTCTCTGCAACTTACGTTGTTTATTGTTTGTGTAGGAACATTGCATCATTGTCATCATTGTTCTCTGGCTGGGCTGGCCTTCCCAATGAATCTTTATAGCCAGAAGAATCAAAATCCATCAAAATATGGAGCTTTCTTGCTCTTTTTTCCTATCAAATTTCTAAAATTTAAGAATCCTAAGTTCTTCTCATATTTAATGATTTTATTACTCTATTTAGAAAAGAATCTGCTAAATCTCCCTAAAAGTGTGGCAGTGACCCTTAAAGCAAGAATAGAGGATGCACAGCTGGCTGGGGGGTGTGATGTTTTGTCCTGTAAAAGATGAACATTCCTTGTTGACCTTCCAATGGTTATTTTATATCTGAGGTGCAAAACTTAGTTACACTTTAAGGCTATGACACTGTTGTTTTCAGTTACTGTATTCCAAATGCTTTCTCTCCACATACAGCCAAAAATAGTTATCTGTAGTTTGTGTAGGCACTTCTGAGGCAATTCCCAGTCCTAGATAGCAGCAATTTAAATGAGAACTGAGGTCGTTTTTGTCTGTTTGTTTGCTAGACCTCCAAGAAGAGTCAGAAGGCTGGGATGGCTCTGAGGAAGAAGAGAAGCCTTCTTCCCAGCCAGATGTTGCAGAAGGGCAGGAGCTTTCTAAATGCTCTCCTGAAACATCCCTGATGCCAGATTGCAACAGATGGAATGTAGCTCACAGAAGGTTGTCTGTCTTCCGCTCTCTCAGGCATATGAGACAGGTAAGAGAGGAACAAGTTTACTTTGATTCTGAATTCACAAGCTAATAACTTCTCATTCTTCTGATACTGTATTTTGAAAAGGATACATTTTTTTCCTACAGTTTGCATTTGTTTCCTGTTCAAGGCAGTGCCTACATAGCTAGTAACAGTGTTAACTGCATTTCTGAGATTCTGGCTGTCTCTGAGGTCATGCTCTGTTTGTCCTGAGCCTCTTCCAATCGTCTGTCATGTGGATGGGATCATGTGATTTCTCTCAAGTTCTGCACTTCTGTCCTTCCCAAAAGCAATGTCAGTAAATGTCATGTTCAAAGTTAAGTATTGTTTGCTTACAACAAAAGTGTTTCAGGAAAAAAAAAAAAAAAGAAAGAAAAAAAGGGAGCAACAGAACAAATGGTTCAGTCTGTGTGGATTTAGCTTGTCACCAGTGCTTCCAGTTCTCTGAGGGAGAAGGCTTTGTGCATAAGGTCCACAGTTACTTTTACACCAGCTTGTTTTCCTGGATGCTCTTAACATCTTGATCTGCTTTATCTCTTTATCTGCCACTTGTTCTCCTTTCTCCTAATTTGGAATGCTAGAAGCTATTAAACTACACCATATTGCAACTTTTAGCCACCTTTAGAAGCTTATCTAAGAAAATTGTTACATCTTTCATGCCTGAATCACTGTTATGAACATAACACAGATCAGAGAAATGGGTGAAAGTTATCTCCTGATAGAAGTCATTCAGTTCCATTCCAAGCAGGTCAGTATTTATCTTGCCAACCCACTAACTAGGCCAAGAAGCAGGCTGATTTGTGTAATCTTGTCAGAGAGCTGAAGAATTCGAGAGAGTGTAGAAATTGAACTGTTCTCTTACTGTGCTTAATACTGACTTGAATCATTGGTTAGGCACGTTGGCAAGGTGGTACTTTGCTGCTGTTTATTCTTGAAACTGTAAGAAGGGGTAGAAATTACTTTGCATGAGTCTGACACCTTTAGCACCTGTCAGAGAAACACTTAGTCTTGGTGCTGGGTTTTGAACTGCTGTCAATACACACAGTTTGTTAAATTTTCATGTTCGTTCCTGCTGTTTGGTTCTAGACCATTTCCTACGTGGCATGTTTTCTGACAGGACAGTTTGGTTCATTTCAGGTTCTTGGGGCATCAGCATTCCGCATGCTGGCTTGGCATGTTCTGATGGGGAACCAGGTCATCTGGAAAGCTCGAGACATGGATCTTGTCCAGTCTGCTTTTGATGTGCTACGGGTAGAGACCTTCTCCTTTTTTTTTCTTGCTGCTTGTTTTTACATATGTTTGAGTGGTCCAGCTTTCATAATAACCTGCCTCTAATATGTAATCTTGTGGAAAATGCGTTCTAAATTACATGATTTTGAGGAGAGAAAAAAGTTCAACCTTTTGTCCATAGATAGCAACTGTGTAATCTGTCTTTCAAGCTGAGTGAGATATTTCTGATCTCCCCTTTCCCTTCTGATCAGCAGAATATTTACATCAGCAGTCCTCCAATTCTTGGCTGGTCTTGAAAGCTGGGTAAAAAACTGCTTTGCTGATTTATATCCAATGGTTCTGTCAGCAAGTTTCCTTCTTTCTTTAGACCATGCTGCCTGTTGGTTGTGTGCGGATCATCCCCTACAGTGACCAGTATGAAGAGGCATATCGGTGTAACTTCTTAGGGCTTAGCCCACATGTCCAAATCCCATCCCACATATTGTCATCTGGTAAGAACTCTCCTTTCCATATCGTATTCTGTTAAGGGGTGCTAATATTTTTCAATAAAAAATTATCAGATAGTCTAAAAATGCTGCATGAACTACAGTCTCTACCACTTCTCTTCCCCATATCCCTGCCTGATCAGTTGTTGAAAGTGTGTCACCTATTGTAACCACTAATAGCACCATAGCTGACAATCCTGGTTCCTACTGACTAAGTGTTGTAAGCTGACAGAACTGTGGGTTTTTTGGAGCAGAGTTTGCAGCTGTGTTTTAGAATCTGGGCCATTGTAGATAATGTTTTGGGCTTCTGTTGCTCTAGAGTTTGCAGTCCTCGTGGAAGTTCGCGCTGCTACCCGGTCCACTCTCTACCCAACTCTGCTCGAAGATGAGCAGTCCCTCAACAAGTATGAGTTTGTTGTCACCAGTGGCAGTCCTGTTGCAGCAGATCGAGGTGGGTGCTTTGGACACTGAAGAAACTGAGAATAAAATAAGAATCCTGATCTTCAACCATTTTTTATGCTGCTCGAGTGCTGGCCTTTAAGGAAGTCTGAGAAGAAAGCCAAACCACTACAGGACAGGGGCTGAGAATTTTAGGTTAGGTCTACCGTAGTCTTTTGAGCAGTGTTTTGCTTATTAATCCTCAGAAATGGGAAACAAACTCTGTAACATGGATTCAGTAGCAATTGTAGGGAAATTCTTCTGAAAACTATGACAAACACTTTTTATCCTGAAGTACTTGCTGGTTTATTTTGAGTGTCTCTATTTTAATCTACTAAACATGTAAGGACTGTGATGTTACTCATCATCTCCACTTGATAGACTGGTAAGACTGATACAGAACTGGCAGACCTTTCTTTACCTGCTTTGTTCAGTGACTTTGAGCGCTTGCAAGTAGATGTGATTCTAGTCAGGTCCACCCATCTCATATTTTCTGGAAGTCCAAACTTAAGTGCATTGGCATCATTGTTTATCTCAAAAGACACAGGCAGGTGGTTAACTCTGTCCACTGAACATTCAGGTACAATTTAAAGCAAAGATTCACTCCCCTTTATAGAGTTCTTTCTGAGCTCCAGCACTGCTGTAGATCCAATGTATATAATTATAGCTTTCTATTTTCCATCTAATTAATGGCATGTCTAGGAGCTTCTGGACAAAAATTGTCCAGGACAGGCTATTTTATCACAGCATCATGCTTACTAGGCAATAGAGAGCTGAGAAAATAGCCTCCTAGGGAATACTAGAAATTGTCCAGGAAAGGAATGCCTCAGGTTGGTTAGCTTTTTTTTATGTATATTTTTATTTATATATATTTATGTATATAATAAACAGCATGAAGATTTTTTCATAACTTTGCATATGTAATGAGCTGTTGATACAGCCCATATTAATTTCATTTGAAAAGTGAGCCTTAAAAACAAGGGCCCCTGAACCTGTGTGCATGTCCCAGGATCCTTTACAAAATTCAATGTTGCATCTTGGATCAGAGGTTTTTTTAGTAGAATGATCTTTTACACCCTCTAAGAAACATGTGAAATGAAGACAGGGCCACGGAGGTAGATTTCTTCCTGACTTGAGAAGGAATTTGGCTTGTTTAGTTCAGAGATAATCTGTGCTGAAACTGGCTGTGCTGTTATTAATACTTCAGCTTTCTGCATATAGAAAGAAACTGCATTGATGCACCAGGTCAAAGTACTGGTGAAAAATGAGTGCAAACCAGAACTCTTTAACAGACTAAGAGGGTGGAACAAACATGTATTCATCTGTAATTCCAGCAGGTACTCAGGATAAATGGGTTAGTCCTTGACATTACCAGTAAAGCTGTCAGTTACCACCTACAGATTGCATATACTGTTTCTCACCATTTCCCTTCTTTCTGACCTTGCAGTTGGTCCTACAATCTTGAACAAGATCGAAGCTGCTCTGACCAACCAGAACCTTTCTGTAGATGTTGTGGATCAGTGCCTTGTTTGCCTGAAAGAGGAGTGGATGAAGTAAGTGCTGCTCCTGCTGCAGTCAGAGAAACAGCTTTGGCATGAATCCTGAAAGAGTTACATTAGAGTACAGGGCAAACTTGTAGTCAGATAACTTCTACTTCAGTCTTGAGAGCAGTCAGCTTTACTAATGGGAGATGAGAGTGTCAGAATTCTACTTTGATCCTCTCTTCTTTGGCTTTCAGCAGTTCTTAACCTTTATGCTTCAGTTCTTGCATCTGGAGTTTACCTACGTGACAATACTTGTCGGTCTTATACACATTATGAGGATTAAGAATGCAAACATATAAGCCTGTCAGTGAACCCTGTGTTCCAGTGCAGATAACGTGCCAAATAGATGTCATGGTTGTGCCTCCAGGCAGCACGTTTCAAAGATGCAAGTAGTTAGAAAGGAAGACCAAACAGTCATGTGAAATAATTCACAGAATGTTATGATTTTGAGAAATTATCTGAAGGCCAGATGGGCACTGGATGTGCCTCCCAGGGAGATTCCCAGTTGTCAGAGCTAATTATTTTACTTTTAACAAGAATGAAAAAGAGTAGGATCACATGTATTACTACTGAAAATGACTAATTCCCCTTAACTAATCTCCCTTTTTCTTGTGCCCTTCTTCCCCCACTTTCTTTGTTTAAATCTGGAGAATAGTCTCCATGGAATACTGCTTGAGACATTTATTAATGTGTAGTTGCAGATGGTGCTGAGAGAAGTTACAGTTAGTGCTCATTGCCTGTTTGATGCATACGAGTCAATTGTAGTAGTGACAGGAGTTCCTCTTTCCTGCAGTAAAGTGAAGGTCCTCTTTAAATTCACCAAAGTGGACAGCAGACCCAAGGAAGATACCCAAAAACTGTTGAGCATTCTGGGAGCTGCAGAGGAAGACAATGTCAAGCTTCTGAAGTTCTGGATGACTGGCTTGAGCAAGACATACAAGTCCCACCTGATGTCAACAGTTCGCAGCCCGACATCGTCGGAGTCTCGGAACTAAAGGGTGCCCAACCTCACTTGCTGCCTTCAGATAATTGCAGGGAACCCCAAGTTACCACTGCTGAGCCTGCAGCATGTGCATTAGGAGGATAGTGAAACCTCATCACTATTCTAATGGTCCTCAAACTAACTTGAAGAGTCACTTGAGTCTTTTCTAATTGCTGTGAGACTGGACTAATAAGTGCTAATAAACACTGCTGCTGTCTGTCCTGAAACTCTACATCTAGACCTGCACGCTCAAGACTAAAATACAGCAACACTCAAAGAATCAGCGTGAAGTAATTAAAATCCCGTGCTGTCATCCTAAAGCATTATGGTGCTTAATCAGTTTTAGATTTCATTGGCAAGACTCAGAGACCTGTGACAGCATCCAGAACTCCTGGAATGGATGTAGCTAACCTCTGTGAATCTCACATACAGCTCCTAAATGTCTGAGAGACCAAGAACCAAAAAATAAGTGATGTCACAGGGTATGGATCACGTGTAAATTATTTAAAACCACTCAGATTTATGAAGAGACTATTTTCTGCTGTAGCAAAAGTCAGGAGTATCCTGTTGGAGTCACGTCACTCCGCTTCTATTTATTTATGTCTTGACTTGAGACAGTTTCAGCATTTGCTTTGGAAATCCTGTCTGGGAGGGAGAATTGTAATACAACAAACTCAAAATGCAGTCTGCTCGGCCCTCCAGAGGGTACAATACCTTGTTTTGCCTGTGTTGCAAAACTTCCAAATAATGAAGATTACCTCTCCAGGGTAAGGTCTCTGGTGTGTTCTTTTGTCTTCAGAAATAGTTTTCTAGCTACCTAATTAAGTTAAGCAGATCCAACCTGTAGGTGCTCCCTTCTTATATAACTCTATAGTAGCCATTTTGAATGCTTAATAGTTCAAGACAATGTTGGTGCAGTTTTTATATGACCTAAACAGACATTCCTTAACTGCATTGTAAGGAATCACTGTTTCTGTTGTGAAGTCATGGCATTTTTGTCCTGGATCATTCTTGGGAAAACTTGACATTACCACAGATGTTTGTATTGATCTGGAGGCAGGTTTGACCCAGGTGACCTACTGCTCTCATTCAGACAAGAATGGAGCTCAGAGCTGGTGTTCCAACTCAGAACCAGTTCTGTTCTGTATAAAATACGCAGGTTGCTTTTGTCTGGAACATCTGTAAAATGGAGACAGACATTAAATCTCATTAAGAGCTATTTTTGTAAAATGGACAAAGCCTCTTTTTGTCTTGATTTCAGTGTGTGTATGTGTTGGGGTTGGGGGAAGCAGCAGTTGATTCACAAGTTCCTGCACGTTGGCCCAGAGCTGATGTGCAGCATTTAATGGGCCTCTTAACTTTTATGTTTGTTACATGTGTGGAACAAGAGCTACTGCTACGTTAATTGAAAATGCTTGGCTGGGCATAACATCAGGATATTCAAACAGCAAACATACTTAGAAAAAGAAATGCCTTACCCTGTTAATCAGCCAGTTATTTAATTTCAGGGTTCTGAGAAAGGTGTTTTCCCACTGTCAGTAAGGAAATGAGGGAGAAAAGGTGTGCAAGCTTTACCCATAGTAAAGGAAATTTTGAGTAATAAATGTGATAAAGCCTACTATCACTGGACTGATAGTGAAACAAAAATGGCAGCAGCAAGTAGAAAAGCATGGACTAATGGGTCAGGATCTCAAGTACAAGGTTGGTGCTTGTCCTTGTGGCTGCCTTCTATGTGATCGAGTAATTTTTCTGCTTCAAAGCTGTTCTGCTTCAGTCCAGAGCTGTGCAGCAACAGGTGAGATGTTTGGCACTTAGATGTTCTGACAGCTGAGCTGCCTGGTTTCTAAAGCATCGTTCTTCCAAGCCTTAAAGCTGCGTAACCCCCAGTTACGTCCTACGTCCACGTTTGCGTGCAGAGACGTGGCTCCTGCAACAGCAGGAAGGCGAGCCCAAGGTCAGGCTTCACGCTGTGCTTCCATCGGAGCAGGAGGGGAGGCGCAGGCAGCGCTCCCAGCTGCTCCAGAATGGGGCTCCTGCACAGAAAGGCCTGCAGGAAGGAAGGCGGCAGCCGCCCGACTCCGCGAAGCCCGGCGCGCCGCTGCCGAGCGAACAGAGCAGCGCGTGGACGCGGTCCGGAGGCGGCGCGGTCCCACCGGGCAGCGCAGGTGGGTTCCCGCAGCTCCGCACGCGGCCGCTCGCTTCGCCGTCGCTGTGAGCCGGCACGCGCTCGGTGCACGGGGCGGCCTTAAGGCCACCGCTGTGCAGCGCAGGCGCGGCGCGGGGCTGCGGCGATGCGGGCGGGCCTGGCGCTGGGGCTGGGGGTCGGGCTGGGGCTGGCCTGGCTGCTGGCGGCGCGGCGGCGCCGGGCGGTGCGCGAGGTGCTGTTCTTCCCCTCGCGGCCCTGCTGCACCGAGGAGCTGCTGGCCGAGGCGGAGGGCTGCGACGGCCGCCCCGCAACGTGCCCGTGCCCGCTGCCGCGCTCGGACTGCTCCCTCAGCCGCCTCCTGCGGCGTCTGCTGGCCGCCCGCCGCTCCCTCGAGCTCTGCCTCTTCGCCTTCTCCAGCCCCGAGCTGGGCCGGGCCGTCTGCGTCCTGCACCGCCGCGGCGTCCGCATCCGCGTCGTGACGGACTCGCAGTACATGGCGCTGAGGGGCTCGCAGATCGGCGTGCTGCGGCTGCTGGGTGAGCTGGTGGCACCGCCGTTGGTGGCACCGCCGTTGGAGGCACGCTCAGGGCCCTGCCGTGGTGCCTGGAGCCAGGCCCGGCTGGTGGCACTCGTTTGGTGGCAGAGGGAACGCGGTGCATCGTTTCCTGGATGGATCTGATGCAAAAGGGACCCTTGGGGCTGCGCAGAGCTGCAGCACGGCCGTGCTCCCCGCTGTCCCGTGCTGGGCTCCAGCCGCAGGTGTGCCAGCAGCACTGTCCCCAGCTGCAGGGTGCTGTGCTGCGGCATCGCGCTGCCGAATGCAGGTTGGGCTGGCTGCTGCGCCTGGGCACGTATCCTGTGCTCAGCTCCTGCTCGCAGCCCCTCGTCCTTTCCGTTTGGTGGCACTTCTCCACGTGCTGCCTTTGTGGCTCGCGTTGCTGGGGGCTGGGTGCCATCCCTGCCCATCACATCCTTGTCGTGTCGTTGTAGGGATCCAGGTGCGTCACAACCAGGACGTGGCCTTCATGCACCACAAGTTTGCCATCGTGGACAAGAAGGTGCTCATCACGGGCTCCCTCAACTGGACCGTGGAGGCCATCCATAACAACAAGGAGAACGTGGTGATCACGGAGGATGCAGAGTATGTGCAGCCTTTTCTGGATGAGTTTGAGAGGATTTGGGAAGAGTGCAACCCTGGCAACTACACGTTTTTTTCCTAAAGAAAATGAGTAAGCAGCTTCCCTGAGCTGGAAGGGTGTGGAACAGAGGGCATTCAGGGGGTTTATTACTATCTATAGCCATGGATGTATTACCATCTGTTGTAATTTCGTTAAGTTCCTCCTGAGCTGAAGTGCTCTGTACCCTAAATTGCCACAGGTGCCTCGTGTACTAAACGAGCAGTAATGACCCAGCTGATGGGCTCTGTGAGGACAGAAGCAATGGGATGCTCGTTGCTGTGCTCTGCAGTGAGTAAGGTGATATTTGCACTGCACTCAGGACTTGTGCAGGGAGCTGGGTGTTCTCCAGCTCGTGGTGCTCGGGATGGAGCTGTACCCTGAAGGGAGGATTGTGAGGGCTGCAGCAAAACTGGGGGGTTGTGTAGGTGGAGTTGTCAGTGGCTGTTCTTTTGTTTGCATGAATTATTGACAGTTTGTGAAAGGAAATCTGGGAAATAGGAAGTTTTGGTTTGTGTATGAGTTTCCTCTGGTTTGAGGTTAGTTGAGTTCCGGTGTCAATGTGTGAGAGCAGATAGCAGTGCCAGCTCATCTCCCTGCAATGCAGTGCAGGGAGTCCTCAGAAAGAACTGAAGCTGTGCTGTGGGCACAGTTGGCCTCGTCTGAGGAGCAACTGCAGCTGCAGCTTTGCCTGCAACTTTATTTTTAGTGCAGCTGTGTTTGCTGATCTAGTTAGAGCTTAAACTGCTCCCTACAAATGCTGCACCTCACAGTGTTAACATGCTGCTCTCTCAGGAAAGCTCCACATCACCTGGAGTGTTTTGCACTGGTGGGTTGGTTGGTTCCAAGATCCAAATCACTACAAGTTCCTGGAGATCCATAGGGTGTTGTTTAGGGTGTGGGGGTAACATCATCAGAGTGAGGGTTTGTTCTGTTGTGTTGGAGAAAGTTGGTGTGGGTGTGGGAGGCAAAACCGTGCATTGTCATCTGTGATGTAGCAGCTGGGGAAGGAGCTGAAGCAGTTTATTCTGTAGTAAGTCTGGTTCAGCAGGTTTAAATATATGCTCCTTTAAATATTTTATTGTTAAAATTATACTTGTTTTGTTTTCTTTGTGAAATGTAACTATAAAAGCAGACAGTTCACCCTGTTCAGGCTCTGCTTTCTGCTGCTTTCTTTGCATCGTTTCGTCGTTGGAACAAACACACACTGCACTGACAGCATCCAAGGGTGGTGCAAAAATAGTTTATTAGGATATCGTTTACGTAAAGTTAGGTAATTATATTTACAAAATAAAAATGATCAGCTACATCCATGGGAACCTAGCATGACGCACACGGTTGTATAAGGAATAAATACAGTGACAAAAAAGTGATGTTTCTATTACAGAGAACAGTTACCAGGAACAGTGATTCCTCGAAAAGCAGTGAATAAAATGGGAGTGGAAGAGAGGAGGAGGGAAGAGGCGAGGAACTCGTGCACACAGAGAAGCAGGAGCCCCTGGCAGAGGGAATGGAATCACGTGCGATGCATCGTTTCCTGGATGGATCTGATGCAAGAGAGGCCCTTGGGGCTGCATACAGCCAGAGCTGCAGCACGGCTCTGCTCCCTGGCCTCCTGTGCTGGGCTCCAGCCACAGGTTTGCCAGCAGCAGTGTCCCCACCCGCTGTGTGCGTGCTGCAGCATGGCTGCTGCCAAATGCAGGTTAGTGTGGAGGGCTGGCTGCTGCGTCTGGGCACGTAACCTTGTGCTCAGCTCCTGCTCACAGCCCCTCATCGTTTCCATTAGGAGCACAGAGCTCTCGAGTATAAGGGCAGAGCACGCCATGTGTTGGAACGCAGGAGTCCCTTCGGCTGCGGTTTGGGCAGTGGCTTAAACTGTGCACCACCAGTGCTGACCGCTGCTAATGCCACCCAAAGACTTGCAGCAGTCCTTTCTCTCTCCCCAAAACTTTATCCCTTCAAATAACTGATTCTTTAAAAGCTGGAGCCATCCGCATCACCAGGTCCCAGGAACGGGTCAAGGGCTGTGCGCTCTGATCTGTGCCTACCTGCCATCACCTTCAGCATTCTGCAACATACTTTGCTCTCTCTGGTTTAGAACAAAGAGTTAGTGTTCTTGTCACATCCTGTGCACTATCATTGTGTAAAGAAGGAAGAATGAGAAAATAATTGTTTGTAATTGCACTAATTACTTGCCAGCTCATGGCCAGCTGGCTGCCTTCAGCTGTTACCACCTTGATGGGCTTATCAGGTTTCTGCCAGCAACTCCCACACCCGTGCCTTCTTTCGGTTGTCTCGAGGTGCAGCTGTGGGGTGAGCCTCCCCTCCCTGCCCTGTCCTCACTCGTTGCATTTCTGCATCTGCTGCTGAGGGGCTGTGTGCAGCACTGTGCACTGGTGCACTCAGCGCTGTGCTGCAGGCTGTGTGTTCATGCAGGATGAGCTGAGCCCCTGCTGCCTTGCGCAGCACCTGCACAGAGCCCAAAAGCAGTAGTGCGTGCACTGCCCCACGCGGTGCTTTGCTCTGCTCCGTGGTGGTGCCATTCAGTTCGAGGGTGGAAAAAAGTTTACGGCGCAGTGAAGTTACAGTTCTCAAACCGACCGTGTGCATTCTTCAGACTGGTATCATCGAAACTCAAGGGCAGGTCAGCAGAAAAGGCGTGAGAAGCTATTTCTAACAGTGCAAAGCAGAGCCCGTCAGGGCAGGCAGGCAGGGGGTGACAGCTCTCACCCAGCCAGTGAAATCAAAACCATAACACTGTCACAAAAGAGAGCCCTCTGCTGACTTCTGAGTCACAAATATTTACATTGCGTACTTGGAATACTATACAGCTTTTAAATTATTTACGTTCAAAAGAGAATAACAAAGCGTTTTTGCTTTTAAAAAAAGAGAGGATGGGGAAGAGGAAAGGCAAAGCAAGCCGTGCTGTGTGCATAAGTGGCCACAGCAAACAGCTCTGCGTCAGCAGCACAGGAACGCAGCGGCTGTGAGCTGCATGGCAGTGCTGAGGGTGGGAGGATTTTATGCAGAAGATGAAAATAAGTCCTGGTATCTCCTACAGGCACTGTCTGTACCTGCAGCTGTGTCACTTCAGTGGCAAGAGGATGAATGATGCCCAGAGCAGGAGAGAAGAAGCGGGGTAACTCCGGATCACTGCCATCACCTTTCTGGCTGGCTTTGTTCTCTCCGCAGGAATCGCCCCACTCCCCACTGTCTGTTGGAGCTGCCCTTCCTCTCTCTCTCACTGAGGCAGAGGGCTGCCACCAGCTTTGGAGAGATGCCACTCAGCAGAGCCCAGGGGACAGCCCAGGCCCTGCCCCAGACTGCTCCTGCTGTGCAGCTGTGCGGTGCTCCTGCTTTGTTCCCATTTAAGGGATGCTCACCCCAGCAGATGGTGCTGCTGCAGGAAGGTACAGCACAGAGCATCCCCAATTTGCTTTATGGTACTTTAGAACTCAGGGAAGCTGCCACTGGGGCATTTCCATCAGCCCCCAGAAGAACTGGAGCAGCTGTGCATTAAGTCAAGCTTCCCCAATAGCAGTAACCCCAGCAAATCCCAATTCCATCTCCACTGCAGCATCTTTTAGCCCTTCATCACCTGTTTTCACAAACCACATGAACGCAATGATGTGTGCTGAGCCAAAAGCTATGGTCAGTCTGTTTGGCACTGGTCTCCCTGCACTGGGTTACACCTCCTGCAGCACCCACACCAGGCATGACAGCCAGGGCTGGGTACCACGTGGGCAGCAGGCAGCATCCTCTCTTAGGGAGTTACAGTGCTCAGTGGCATCAGTCAGTGCCCATCCTGCATAGCTCCCATGTGCTGTGCAGTGAGATAACAAGGTGTGGCCCTTGTGGTGGTCGTGGTTAAAATAATGAAGTCAGCAAAGCAAAGCAAGGCTTTCCTGGGGAAAGTAAGAATGATTGAAGTCCACATGGCAAGAGGAAGATCACGTTCTGCTCAGGTGGCTGAGAAGGACAAAGTCCTACTGTGCTTCTCGAGAGGAGGAAGGCATTCTCCTGCATCCAGTGCAGCCTTGGGAGAGATGAGTGGTGACAGTGATGATGCCACGTGCCATCCTTGTTCCATGTGCCAGGAGATCACAGGGCATGAAAGCATCCCAAGAGCAGAGCAGAGCCCGTGCAAAACAGTGCCACCAGCCCACCCTGCAGTCACACAAGGTGCTGGCAGAGGCCCATGCACACACCTGATCAGCAAGTCCCTTTTCCAGGCTTGGGCTACCAAGGCTCCTCCAGTGCTTGGATGATGGAGAACACTATGGTGAGCTCAGGATGGGGTGAGGCTGCACAGCAGAACATCTGAGAGGGCACACATCTGCTGGAGAGGGAAGAGCCTTCATGTCCAAGTGGCTGAGGATCCCTGCTGCCATCTCCAGGATTCCCACACACAGCCAGGTACAGAAGCACAGCGCAGGAGAACATCTCAGTATGCCTGGTGGCACTGCTGGAGCACTCAGTGAGAGCATCTATCCTTGCAGATGGACCTCCCAGCTGGCCACACAGCATGCCCAACGAGACCCAAATTAGCCACAAGAGCACACACACCTGCTTCCACCTCGGGTGAGCACAGAGAAATCGAGAAACAGCTCAGCTCCACCTAAAAAATCTCCCAAAATCCAAAGTGACGCAGCCATGTCAGACTGGGGAGCGATGGGGCAATGATTCACCCCACTCACAGCCGGGGTTCTGTAGGTGCACAAAGCACGTGGAGATGATGCTCCTGCAGCCAGCACCGAGCTCTGCACTCACCTATGGACCTCGTGGCACTGCCTGCTCCGCATACAGAAGCTGCTGTGACTGAGCAGGTCTGAAGCACAGACTCGTTTTCAGACTTTTATTTCAGGAAAAGATTAACGAATTAAAATAGGAGCTGCCCTGCTGACAGGAAGAGTCGAGTTCAAGAAGCTGATAAAAAAGGAGCATTATATGCATTGAGCACTGTGCATTTTCAGTCAATAGTGGCTCTACTTTCTACTCTACTTTCCTTGGACTAGGAAAAAGGAGTTTCACATGCGCACAGACCCTAAGATACACGGGACTCAATGAGAGGAAGGGAGTAACAGCAAAAAAACAGTGCTGGGCTGGATCTAGGAGAGGCAAGAAGTGACCTCACAGCTCGGCCCCAGGAACGCTTCCCCCCTCCCCCTGCATACCAGGTGCCCACGGCAGCCCCTACCCAATGCTGGTGCCCGGGCACTGTGTCCTCTGCCAGCCAGGCATCGGGGTGGCTCCTCCAGGCACCCCTGCAGCATCCCACAGGCTTTCCCCTATTGCAGGTGCAAGAGATGCAGTCGACGCAATCAACGGCAAATGAAGCTCCCGGTGTGCTCTGAGCACTGGGGGCTCGTGACAGTAGTAAGAGGGATGGCCCCCGCCACCCAGCCCTGCGTGCATACCAAGCTGTTGGTACGACGGAGCTAGCTTATTCACAGGCTACTGAGCCTTAATACTGACACTTAGTGTAATGGTTTACAGTAAAGGAAGGGATCTCCTACAAAGCGCTGAAGAGGGGAAAAAAAATAATAATAATAATAATAACCCACAAAACCCACAGCCCAATCCCTTCCTCTCCCTCTCAAGAGTCTCAGAAGCGTCTCACAAGCGGGGAAAAGGGGGGTGGTGAGGGGGGCCGTGGGGCCAAACGTCAGCGAGGACGGCGGTGAGCGGCGTGGGACGAACGGTGCTGGTGCTGTGCTGCCTCAAGCCGGGAGGTGCGCGTGGTGAAGCGGAGCGGGGAGAGCTAGTCGTTCTTCAAGTCCCTGGATTCAAAAAGCTTCAGGCGTTCTTGCACGGTCAGGCCTTCCTTTAGGCTCTGGGAGGGAGAAAAAGACAGATAAAGGTGGGATGGGGCGGGCGGCAGGGGGCACGCGGATGGGGGGATGTGGGCAGCGTAGGGGGGAGGCCATCCCGGAGAGATTAGTGGGGCATGCTGGAGGAGACAGCAGCCATGGGGTGTGGTTACGGTGCCTGGAGAGAGCTGAGAGTGCAGGTTAACCGGGTACAGACCAAAGCAGATGAGTGAGGTGAATGCTGCTGGAAATGGGGTTAGCTCCGGGTGGGGTGCAATCCCACAGCCTGCAGGGACCAGGACTCACTGCCATATACCTGCAGGGCTGCAGCACGGGGCAGGCTCCGCTCCTCCTGTGCACTTTGCTCAAGCAGCCCCGAGAACTGCATTTTGTCACCAGCGCCAATGACATCTCTCATCACCCAGCCCTTCCTGCCACATTCGGGGACACGGGGCTCACTTCTTTGGGTCTAGCAGGATGTGATGGCAGATTCAGCATCCAGATTCAATGCAGCTATCCAACCAAACCCTGCCTTGCCAGCTTTCAGCAACGTTATTTATACAATCTGCTGTTGCTTGAGCTTGGAAATACAGGAGAAGAGCTATGTGAGGGGTGCAGTCCTATGAGCAAATAAATCTGGCCCTGATAGGACAGATTTAATCTGCAGTCACTCCAGGGAGCCACACAGGGCTGGCAGTCAGCCCTCCCTCCATCCTGCTGCCCTTTTCTGATGATAAAATGCAAGAATTGCAGCAGCCTTACCACTCATCTTGCAACCAACCCACTCTGCAGTACGTGGCAGCTCCAGCAGGCTCAGACCCACATGGAAACCCTTCTGCTAATGGGTAACCACCATGCTCCCTCTCGCTTTATTTCCTTGACCACACTGTCTGGCCATCACAGAGTTTGCACTTCTGGGCCATGCTTTGCTCAGCGTGGGTTTATCAGGGCAGGACACAGTGCTAAGAAGCTGTGCTCATTCCCATAATCGCTGTTTTTAACATTCCTCCCTCAGGCTCACAAATACAGAAGAGCATCGGGGAGCAGCATGGAAATGAAGCATTGCAATGCTCCGCATTCACACAGTGCATTCTTTCTTTCCAATTGACAGCAGAGCCTCTCAGGACCCAAGTCTGAGCATGTCCTTCCTGCAGAAAGTCAGCTTTGGGCTATTTAAATGAGCAGCAACCCATGCATTCCAGTTTGCACATTCGATTTCTAATTATATAGAACCAGACACCAGAAGCCATTAGGCTGTTCTGCCTCACGGTACAAATTCCAGCAAATTCAGCCCTTAGGGATTTCACGATCCATCTGAGCTGCTGATGAGGGGAGAGTAATGCAGGGTGAAGCCTGTGATAGGGAATCTTCCACCAGAACCCCTGCGGCTCTCCAGTTATCCCCTTCGTCATTCCCTAACCTCAACCTTTACCGTGGGCCAGGACAATTAACTACTGCTCCAGTTCCTCAGTGTCTGTGCCATTAGGATCACACTCGTTTCCCACCATTCTGCTAGATGGCCCTGGAATCTTGTGGGATGTGTGGTGTCAAGTGCTGATGAGCAGTGGGTGGACACTGGGGAGCAGCATGAGGTCACTGGGCAAGGAAACACCCAAACAACCTACAGCAGCAGCTACAGAGAAAACTGTGGGCAGCGTGGAAATCCCCTCTGCAGCTGAGCCCAGGAGCACTACTGCATACTACAGACCTCAGTGGGAAATGCATCTACAGGCAGCACTGATCCACTCCTCCACCTGGCTAACAGCAAAAAGGTTCTCCTACAGGACCCCGGTGGTGTTGAAGTTTAGTCTGAGGCATGCACAGTCACTCAAGCATGCACACTCAGTGTCCCACACTCCCAACAAAGCCAACAGGAAAATGTGCCCCACTGCGTCCAAATCCTCTCCGTGCTGTTTGCTGTGTTGGGGAGGGTGGGAGGAAAAGGAAGGTGAGAAAGCCATATTCCCCAGGAAGAGCAGAGAGAATGCTCCTCCCCTCCTCCCATACTATCATTAACCACAGATGAACCAACAGGTCATTAAGAGAAGGGCTCTCATTTGCCGTGGAGGTGTGAGCAGTGCATGCAACGAGGGCCGCTCCAGTGGGCAGCTGTGCCGCTCGGTGGGTGCCGGTGTGATTACCTACGTGGCAGGGAACCTGGACTCGGGTTCATTTCAGTTATCCCATGAGACCTGCTCAATAACGGACTGTTGGAGGAGAAAGCAAAATAAAGAAAACAAAACAAAAACACAAGAAGCTCATAAATCCTACAGGCATTGGCGTCCGCGCAGCCCAGCCGCCCCCTCCCCACACAGCGATGCAAGCAGGCAGAGTGCCCTGCCACAGCCCTCCTTTCCCGGGGGTCCAACCAACAGCACACGGGAGCACAGCAAGATAAGTACTCTGAGCTGAAATGGTGATGGGGAACCAACCCTCGGACCTGGGACAGCAAGCCTGCAGGTCCGGGTGCACCCCGAGCTGCTCCCTGCTGACTTGGAGCAGCGCAGACACCCCACACTGACACCTGCTGCTTGCAGAGCTGCATGCCAGCTGTTTCCCAAGCTAGAAGCCTCTGCTTGCTGGCTTCTCACTCTGCCCCAAGTCCCATCCACTTCCAACATCAGCATCAGACCCCCACTGCCTGTGGGGGGAGAGGCAAAGCAACGTGCCCACGTCGATCATCCTGCTGACTGACCCATATTTGAGGATGCTTTGTGAGCAGCTCTGTGTGCCCTTCGTATCTCTGTGGTCCCACAGCACCAGGCAGCGTGCAATGCTGGCAGCCAGCATGCCAAGCAGGAGCACTAGGCAGAATTATTGGCATCTGGGACCAGTAGCAATACAGAAGGGCCAGAGAAACACAGGGCCATCTGTGCTGTGTTAACACACAAGGAAAGCGTGTGTTAAACATGCCCAGCTTCCAGACATTGCTGTTCCATATAAAGACCCACAATCTTACAGTGATGAACACTGCAAAACCTGGAATGCTGTGTGCATTTCTACCACCTAAACTTCAACTGACAATGGGGAGCAATTTCTGGGACAGTCCACCTGTGAAAGACCAAAGAACAGGTGAACTTTGTCTTTGTTTCAGGCGAGGAGCAGCTCCACCCCTACATATCAGGGCACTCCAGGGCAGTGGGCTCTGCAAACCACATCTCATCCGCCAGCTCAGTGCTCTCCCAGCTGCCATCCAGGTTAGCACTGGTGACTGGGAAATTCTCCATTTTCTTCTCCTTCCCATTTCTTCTCATCTTAAATCCCCACCAGAGAGTAATGCTGGCCACCTGCATTGCAGGGGAAGAGCTGTGAGCTCACCTTTGACCTGATATTCCTTAGTTGCCGGCTAACACTGGATCTGTCTTTCTTCAAGAAATCAGGGTTGCTTTTTGATTTCATAATATCTGGGGAGAAGCAAAACGACAGCATTAGTGCAGTGCCCCTTGCAAGGAACAGGGGCTTCTCTGCATCCCGACAAGCCAGGCCTGGGCAGGGGGCTCTCAGCACAAGGCTCTCCTGATGGGAGGTGGCAGAAGGGTTTTCAGATCCACTACCTTCCTCTCCTGAGGCTGAAAGGATGAACAGCTCGAGGGAAGAGGGGTTGTGCTTGGGCTGCCCACTTCTTGCTGCCCCAGTGAGGTTTCCACAAGGAGCAGAGGTGGGATGCAACATGAAATGGCAAAAAAAGCACCACGCAAAGCCCTGTGCTCAGACTGGGTACTTCACAAGAAATCAGACACCAGGATGCAGGCGCTAAACCAGGAACCCAAAGATGGCTTAGAGCGGCTGGAAGAGCACTGACCATATCCCGATACAGTGGTGTTCACAGGGGATTTCTCTCCCTGAGCTTCTGTGGCTGCTTTCAGCTGCTCTTTCAACCTGCTGATATCACAGTCTGCCTTGGCCTTCACAATGCTCAGCTCTGTGTAGATGTCTTTGTACTTGTCGCTGGCGTATTTCTTATCCTGGCAAAGGAACAAAAACAACCCGAGAGCATAAGACAGACAGCCAGAGCCGAGGAGAGTGCACTGAGGAGCAGCTCAGCACCAGCAGCCAGAGGGGGAGCAGCACCCTGCTCACCCAGTGAGGAGCTCTGTCCCCTGCTCTGCACTTCAGAGCCTCGGGCAGCGATGCCAGCCTCGTGCTCAGAGCTGCACCAAGCAGATATGCAGGACTCAAGATGCACAGAAAGCTCAGAGTCCAGCATCTGGTCCAAAGCGGACCAGATCCAATGTTGGGAGGTCTCTAATGCTGATTATTTTTGCCATTTCAGATCTCTGATATGACAGGCACAGGGAAAAAAACAGTCAAGGGAGATGTTTTCCCACAAGAAGGGAGAAAGGATAAGTCCTGGGCTGACAGAGTTGTGGGAGGCTTTGTTGACAACACCAACATGGGTATTCAGTTTAATTAAGGGCAAAAATGAAATGCTGTTTCAAATCCAGGGGGAAGCAAGCTGGAATCTAAGCACACACAGGGGAGACAAGCACAGCCCTTAGGATATGCAGAAGCAGTCCTGCAGCAGACATTACCCTCAGTGCCGTCTGCAGCTCGTCTTTGAGAGAGCTGATCTCCTGCTTCAGGTACTGGATTTCTGACTCTTTGACCCTCAGCAGGACCTGGAAGGACAGAAGCAGCGTGACAACACCCTGCACACACCACAAACGCCAAGACCTTCACAGACAACAAAACCAAACTGCCTGGTACAAAATAGGGAAACTGGGACCCCAAGTTCTGCTGTAACCCAGCGCAAGGTGCTCACCTCCAGCTCGTAGGCATCTTTGCCCTGGGTGAGAGGCGACCCAGCAGCCTCTCCTCCACCCTCCCCGGTCAGCAAGGTCCGCAACCGCGTGATCTCCGCAGCCAGGCGGTTATTCAGCTCCTGGAAGAGGGGGAGATGTTGCAGGATGAGCCAGGGCTCAGCAGAGAGATGGTGACATCTCCCTGGCCCCATTCAGGGCCTTCTCTGTTGCCTTATGGAGCCATTCATAGGCATCTTTTATCACAAACCTCACATCTTCACCCCAACTGGACACGAGGAAGCCAGCTTGGGGCAGTAAAGACGTGATGCCTTCTTTTATGGAACCATAGAATCATTAACACTAGAGAAAACCTCTAATATCACCACGTCCAACCAAACCACGCACGTCCCCATCTTCACCCTCCTGGCTCCCTTTGCCCTCACCTGGTTGTGGGCGTTGAGCTCCTGGTTCTCCCGCTGGCACTGGCGGAGGGCCTGCCTCTCAGCCTCCAGCGCCTGCGCCAGGTGGGCGTTCTCCAAGCACTTCTGTGAATACTGCTCTGACAGCACCTCCAGTTCCCGCTGCACCGACTGCAGCTCCTCCCTGCCAAAGAGAGACATCAACCATTTGCACACATGTTCCTGCTCTTCTTCCAGCACCCCACCCCCGTCCAGAACAATCTAAGGACTGAGGATAGGGATTTGTGTGCTCCCTTTGGGAAAAACCTCGAGTGCAGAGCAAGCCAACCCTTCCCTCTCCTGGCACACTGGCGGTTGGCCACCAATCCAAGGAGGTCTTCTTCCAGGAGGTTAGATGGTGGGTAAGTTTCCAAAACCAGGGCTGAGATCTATCAAGCCTGCACACAGGAATGGGTAGATCTGCACACCCACACACACCTAATGTAGATGCATCAGGGTTCACAAAGCTGCTTGACCATTTTGGTTGGCTTGTGCTTTGGCCCTGCCTGGTCAGATGTGGCCCAGCTGTCCTTGTGTAACAGCAGCAAGAAAAGCAGCATCACCTCTGCGCATCTGGTGACCATAAAGCTGCTGACAGTGGGTAGCGTGGGGACACTGAGCCTCTGAAGCCCCCAAATTAAAGGCAACCAGGAACCTATGGTTGCAGCTGAATTGGGACTGAGGGTAGAAGCCCATGTGATGGCCAATTTGACTCCAACTCATTGCCAAAATCACAGAGGAGCCAGGGGCCTCCCAGATGCCTAACCCCACCATGAAAGACAGCAATGGATGGACAGAACCACCCCAGCCAGCCTTACAGATACTGCCTCCGGAGGGCCTCGATGTCGGCGTTAACGCTGCTGATCTGTGAGCGCTGCGACTTCTCCAGCTCTCGCTCCAGCTCCTCCCGGTGTGCGTTCTTCATGGCTTCAATGGCTGCAGGGGTGGCACAGTATTAGCACCTGGCATTGCAATGCCCAAAGAGCAGAGCTGGAGGGGGCCTCTTTGGTTTGTTTTCTTACAGGAACAATAAACCGAGTTGGCCCAGTGAGCCACCCCACTGCTCTGCAGTCCCTTCACCCCAGTGTGGCAAAAGGGCTCTGCAAATTCCACTGTTCAGTGAAGTCCGAAAAACTGACCAATTCACACATTGTTTCCTGAATTGCAGGACTCCTAACGCAGAGACGCTGAGCCTGAGTGCTTTAAAAGTCCCAGCGGCACTGAACAAGGAGTTTGTTGTGGGAGCAGCAATGAATGGTTAATGCCTTTCTGAGATGGAACAGAAAAGTGATCACACACTGTCACAGGCAGTGAGATGCATACCAAGCCTGGAGAAGAACCAGAAGATGGAACTCCATCCAAAACACCAGCACTTCCTTGTCTCCCTCTGATCCCCATCCAGCCTTCATCCCAACCCCTGCGCTGCTCCTCCATCCCGGAGCAAACGCCCTCCTCCCCCACCAGCACACAGCTGTCCCCATACCTGAAATGGTGGCAGCTGTTTCCTCTGCCAGCAGGCGGTCCTTCTCCTCCCGCAGCTTCTCCAGCTCCCGCTGGTGCTGCCGCTGCAGGTCCTCAATCTTCTTCTGGTGCGTCTCCTCCATGGCTGCAAAGCCCCTCTCACATGTTGCCTGCAAGAGGGATGAGGGGATGGGGTTGAGCTGGGAGCAGCACGACAGTGGGTGGAGGGTGCCTGGCTGCCATCCTGGGGTCTTCTCCCTTCCCATCCACACAGCAGCCAGCTGAGGATGGAGCTCACAGGGTCAGGGTTTGTCCTCAACCCCTGACAGTGGAAGGGCAAGGGGAGGTCTGGAGTCAGATGTAATCAGGGAAGGCAAACATGTTAAAACAGCAAAAAAGATTGCTGTGTCCTTTCTGTTCTTTGCAATCCATGCTTCCAGGTGTACCCACCTTTGGGTGGAAAGCAGACAGCTCATGACAGCAGTGGACCTTAATTCACAAGTGAGCATCATTTGAAATGTTGCACAGGAAATGATTTCCTAATTCAATGACTAGGATTGAGTTTAGGCCAGGAATTAGGGAGCAGTGCTCAGGGGATTCGGGAATTGCCAGTTGTGAATGCTCAAATCCCAGCTGGATTTCCTGCACAGATCCTGCTCATGGCCTTGTAGGAGGCAAATGTAACAGCCCAGGCACTGTGATGGCAGCGGGGCAGCAGAAACCCACACTGCTGGCCCTGAAGTCCCCAGGGCAGATGTCAGACCCCAATGGGGGAGGGTTCTGTCCCCAAACGGACTCCTCTTTCATTTCTGAAGACAGTAGAACTGTTCTCTGGGAGCCACTGGGACCCCACGGGTGATTACAGGGGGGACAAATTCACTCCCCAAGTGACAAAAGCATAACAGCTACTGACCTACACTAATGTACATTCTATGCACCACCACTTTGTTATATAGTTCTATATAACCTGTGTCACTCCCCTCCTCAGTTTTCAGCTGAGTGCCTTTTCCCACCCCTTTATGTTTTAATCTGGAGGATTTTTTCCTTTTTCACTTCAGCCCTCTTTTCTGAAACTCACAGCTCAGTGCCAGAACCTGTCTGGACTTGGCTTGCAAGATTCTTCATTGGTCCTTTAACACTGGAGGAAAAGGTTGGGTGCTCCTCCACAGGGTGGGAGACTCCGTAATTAACGTATTGTAAATGCATTGCTATAAATCCAGGACATGAGAACACATACAGACCAGTACCTAGTGTTACTGACACTACATGCTCCATCTGGCTCACAGGAACCATCCCTACAAGACTGGCTCCACAACCAACCCTGAGTGCTGGAGCAATCCAAGGGACAGCACTCTGGGCGTTCTGCACCTAAATCTGGGGTTCCAGTAACTGTGCACTGTTTGTTATGTTACGAATTGATGGCACACACCATCCTACGTAGAGGCGATTGCTTTGCTACAGAATTTGGCATCCTTCTGTGGGAAGGTACAGCAGGAGAGCACAGGTTTCCACCTCACCTCATGTTTCTGAGGGCAGCAGAGACAGACTGGAGATTTGATCAGACTGGGAAGGACAGAGTTCAGGAATGCTTCTGAAGGGAAGACACAAACAAACAGTGTGCCTCGGGCACGAGGAGAAACACTACAGTGCTCAAAATGAAGGAGAGCCTGATAGTATGGAGCTACTTTGAAACCCTCCTTCCACCTACACCTCCAGCAGCCCTGATGCTGAGCCTCCCTCCAGTACCTTTCCCCCCTCCTGCTCAGCAATGCATTTAGAATACCCCAGCACAGATGAAAGGAAGCATGGATAAAACACCATGCTATACAGAGGCCTTTTTTTTTTTTAACATTCTGGGGCTTACTTAGATGTGATGCCCTGCACAGGGGATGCCCCTGGGGCCAGACAAACACTGGGACTGCATGCACCCTCCCAGTACACCCAATGGGAGACACCATAAAGCACGAAACGTGGTAAAACCTTTAGGTTCTCAAAGTCCTTCTGGTACTTTTCCCTCAGCATGGAAGCGCTGCCCTCCAGGTGCTTGTTCTCCAGCTCATCCCTCATCACATTCATCTGGGCCTCCAGCTCCTGGATGCGTTCCCGCAGGCCGTGCATGGAGTCCAGGTCCCCGCCGGGTTCCTGCCCGGTGTCACCCGGCTCCCCGGCCCCCCAGCCATCCCCAGCGCCCGGTCCCACCGCAGGGACCGCATCTGGGTGCTGCTGCTGGTATTCATCAAGGGCGTGCTGCAGGCGCTGCAGGTTCTGGCTGTAGTGCTCCTGCAGAGCCTGCAGCTCCTCGCCATGGATGGCCTGCAGCTCCTTGATCTTGGCCTGGAACTTGTCCTCCAGCATCTGCATCTGCTCCAGGTGGTAGCGCTCCATGTCCTGCTTGTCGCGGACGATGGCATCCAGCTGGTTGAGGCCCTCCGTCCTCTCAGCCTTCAGAGCATCCTCCGTCCTGTTCAGCTGTTCAATCACGTTCCGAATCTCCTCCTCGTACCGGCCCTGCAACTCGCTCAAAGTTTTGCTGTGTTTGTGCTCCTCTTCTTCCAAGAGCCTCCGCTGACCTTCGAGCTGGGAGACCTTGGCTTTGAGGTCGGCGTTCTCCCGCTCCAGCATGGCGATCACCTCACCGTACTCACCCTGCTGCTTCCTCAGCAGCTCTTCGTACTCATCCCGGAGCAGGGAGACGGTTTTCACACGCTCCTGGCACAGTGCATCCATGCTCTGCAAGGACTCCTTGTACGACTTCAGCTCTCTCTCGTACTCCAGGCGGACCTTGCACGCAGCGTAACAAACCTGAGCCTGAACTATTGCATCCTGGACCAACAAAGAGGAGTAGTGCTCCAGGTCTGCCATGCATGAGTGATATGAAAGACTCTGAGATATCTTGAAGAGCTTCTGGCAATCTCTCATGGCCTCCTCAGGAGGCAGAGAAAGTAAGGCAACAGAGATTTCCTTAAGAACATTGGATTTGTCTTTTAGCTGTTGGGCAAGATCTTCCTGAATGGAAACAAGAGCTTCACCACTGCTATGGCCTGGTAGGCCACGCACCTCCTCCATCTTGGCCCCCTCCTGGCACGGTCCCATTTGGAGGCAGCTCCCATCCCAGGAGATCTGGGCTCTTTCTGAAGCATCTTTCTGAATTTCAAGTGCTTCAGAAATCTGATGCACAACTCTGTCAAAATCAGGAGTCCTGTAAGCCTTGAGAATTTCCTCCAACATGCACTTGTGCTGCTGGAGAGCTGTTTTGGTGTTATGGAGGTCTTCTTCAATCACTTTTAATCTCTGGTGAAAAGATTCCCTCATCTTCTGTGCCACAAACCCAAGTTCTGCTTTGATCAATGTAGCATCTGCTACAGCACTGAGAAAACACGGAGAAAAGCCCAAACCTGCTGCTTCTGTTTTGCCCTCTGCTTCTCCCTCCCTGGCGCTCAGGTGCACTCTCAGCTCCTCCACCTGGCTCCAGAACTCTCCTTCCAGCAGCAGCTTCTTAGATAGGACACCGGCCAAGTCAACTGCTGTGCGAGAAGCACCTGCCGGCTCTATCAGAGCCACCTCCGCCGTCCCCTGGATCTCCCTGAGAAGCTGCGATATCTCAGAGCCTGCGTTTTTCAGAGACTCTGCTATCTGGCTGATAAGAGAGGCCTCAAAGGCCACTTTCTCAGACAGCCACCTCAACTGGCCCGCACCAAACGTCCCCGCTGGCTGCTCCTCAGAGACGGGCTCCCCGTCACCCAGCACCCCCCCCTGTGATGCAGGGGACCCTGCAATGAGGCCCTCACTCTGCTGAGGCTCAGGCGGGGCCGGTGCCCCTCCCAAGGCCTGGATTGCACTCGATAAGGTCGTTTCCATGCTGGATAGAGTAACAAGGAACAAATCGCTCTCTTGCTCCTTATCTGACTTGGGCAGAGATCTGAGCTGCTCCCTGCACTTCTCTAAGCAAGCCAGCGCTTGATTGTTTTTCACCTGGAAACCTCCCAGCTCGCTAACGTGATTTTCTATGAGCTTGAGCTTCTCCTGCCTCTCGCTCTCCAGCTGTGAGACAAGAGCACTGACTTGGGATAAGCTGCTCTGGAGCTGCTCCCGCAGCTGAGACTCCGTGCTGGCCCACTGGTGGTGCAGGGCGATGAGAGTCTCCTGGTTATGGCCGTGCTGGCTCTCCAGCTTCATGGTTACATCTTTCAGTTTTTCCTCTGTAATATACAGCTTGGTTTCCAGAGAGTGGATGATGGAGAGGTAGGTCTCGGAGTCGCTTGCCGCTGATGATGGATAGCCAGGAGCTGGCTCCGAAGACATGCTTTCCTCAGACAAGGACCTGTCCTGGCTGGTGTCAGAAGAGGTACTGCTCGTCCAGTTTTTCTCCGATCCATCTGGGTGGATGTATTTTTGGCACTGGATGCTCGAGAAACGGATTCTCTGCCTCTTGGCCCCCATGATTCCTACCTCAGGCTTTGCTAAGGCTTTCTGAGCCAACTCTTGGTCCTGGAGCTCCGCAGCTTTGGAAGGGGAGTCAAATTCCTCCGCTTGCCTTTGGCTGGTTTCAAGGACCTCGTCCTCCTTCAGCGCATAGGTCAGAGCTGGGAGGGCATCGTGAGTTGGCAGAGGCTGCCCCAGCTGAGATGGGTGACTTTCGTCAGCCTCAAGATGGCAGCCAACATCATCTGCCTCCTCAGCACTTGGCCCTGCACCTACGCTGGTTAATTTCCTTAAAGCCTCCTCCTTGGCCTTTAGCCTTACTTTAGTCTCCTCTAAACTGCTATCCAAAGCAACCATTTTAACCAAAGCCTCACTGAGATCTTGATCTTTCTTCTCCACAATTCTCAAGTGCATTTCCTTAACGTGCCTCAGTTCCTCCTCTTTTTCTTTCAGCACTTTCTGCACACCCTGGAACTGATCTGACACCTCCTCAAATGATTGCTCCAGATTGTGGTAGTTGGTCTCTTCCATTTTCAACTTGGCTTGCAGCTTTGCAACCTCATTATCTGACTCAGCAACTTGATTCATGAGCTCATGGAACCGACATTTGATCTGATCTCTTTCCCTCTCAAGCTCCTTGATGTGCTCGCCCAGTTTCTGGATGCTGGCCTCCTTCAGCAGCAGCTGCTCCTCCAGCTGGTGGACAAGCTCACTGCCCTCGAACTTTGCACTCAGCTTTTCCTTCTGCAGAATTTCCATTTGCTGCTCGCTGTTTTGCAGCTGATTCTCATACTCGTTGGCCCTATCCTCCACCTCCTTCAGACTCCGTATTAAAACCTGCTTTTCCCTCTCACAGCTCTCCAGCAAAGCCTCGTAATTCTTCTGCAGCTTCTCCTCCATGAGGATGCGCGTCTGCTCGCTGGCATTCAGCTGCCTGCTCAGCTCCGCGATCCTGTCCTGCAGCCGCTGCACCTCCTTCTGGTGGTCCCTCTGCAGAGCCTGCTGCATTTCCAGGTCCCGCAGCTCCTGGGTCTTCTCAAGGAGCAGAGCCTCGGCGTTCTTCAGCTTCTGCTCGCTGGCCTTCAGCTGGGAGCTGAGCGCGGCCTCGCCATGCTGCCACTCCTCCAGCTGCTCCTTGGCCTTCTCCTTCTCGCTCCTCAGGTCGCTCCTGAGCTTGGCCAGGGTCTGCTCCTTGATGGAGAGCTCGGCCGCCGCGTTGCTGAGCCTCGCCTGCAGGCTCTGAATCTCAGCTTCGTGGTGCCGGATGACGTCCTTAGCCTCGGCATAGCTGCGCTTCAGTGACTGGATCTGCTGATTGATCAGCTCTTGACGCTGGCATTGCGCTTCCAGCTCGTTTTGGAGGTCTTGGTTGACTTTGTGGAGCCTCTGCCAGGCACCTGACGGCGAGGCGGCCACCTCGGTCTTAAAAAAATCGATTAAATACTAGATTAGTAACACTCTTGGCTCTCCCTTCTGAGTGTCACACCTCTGGCCAGGCAGGCCATGGAAAAGCTCCTCGCAGCGATTTGGCTGCTACCCACAAGCTCCAATTGGGATGATTTGTTCCTGGCACAATTTTATTTTGTCTAACTTTTTTTTTTTTTTTTTTTTTTTTAAATGAGCAACAACTGCTTTCCAGTAACAGAAAATATGGACCGTAACGTCAAAACAGCTGTACAGTCACAGGCTAAAAGGAGAACAACCAAAATCAAACGGAACCAAAAAACAGAAAACAAAAAAGAACGATGAAAAAGAAACACCAGCAATAAAACAGAGACAGACAGACAAGAGAAAAACTGGACGGGTGAGAAGGAAGGGATGGGGACAGGCCGAGAAGAAAGGAACTGCTTTTAGTGTGTTGGTTCGTTTTGCCATGAAACAAAAAGTGCACAGTTCAGGTACCACAGTCCTACCGAACAAAAGCAACGACAGAAAGTGAGGTGGCAGCAAATGACATCACTTCCCAGCAGAACGCAGCGAGACAGGACAGCCGGCGTGGCGATGTCATTTCAGGGGCTGCCAGACAGGACTTATTGGCTGCTCAGTGCATTAGAGAGATGCTGTTATGCTAGAGCTTAAGGCTAGGAAGGATCTAAGTTCTCTACCTGTAAAAAAAAAAAAAACAAAACCAAACAAAGAACAAAAAAAGGACAAAATAAAAAGCCCAACAAGTGAAGGGATGGTGGGGGGGGAAGGTATGATGAGAATGTAAAACAAAAGAAACCAACCTTTGTGAGATTCAAATCAAAGCAACGCAGCATGCAAAGAGAAAACTCACAGAGAGTCATGCAATAGGCGACAGAAATTATGTATCTTTTAAAAAAAAAATACACAGACAGGAAGAGGCAAGAAAAGCACAGCGTTAAGCCTAGGAATTTGGCCTGCCCTGCTGTACTCTGGTTGCTGGTAAGGAAAGCCCACAGATGTGACACTCAGTTATGTTAAGTTAAATTTCATGCTTTACACCAAAAAAACCATGCAAGAACATCCGCCCAGGGACAGGTTAGTATGTGACCCCTCCCACCCGCTGGGACCAGAGCTGGGGAAACCACGGGGCAGTCTGAGCCCCTGCCATGCCCCCCCGCTTGGGCACCGTGTCCCAAGAATGCTGTGAGCGAAAGAAGGGTTGTTACAGGAGGGCAGAGAGGCTGCAGTGCACAGCACATGCATTGGGGCGCTTATCTCAGCAGCTGCCATACGGAACAGCATCCTTTGTGTCCCCACGGGGCTCGGTGCCCCCAGGCGGCTCGGGAGGGACGGGCTGGCAGCGAGCGGGGTCAGCACAGGAACCTCTTGGAAATTGGAGGTGATGGAGGTATGGGGGAGCAACAAGTTCAGAGAGTGCATCCAAAAAAAAAAAGGCTGTGATGTTTGCCTGCAGTCTAGGGCTGCAGAAAAGCTCAAATAATAACCTGCTTCCATCTTTTCACCCTCAGTAGGGTTTGGTGGGGTTACTCCATTCTGCAGCAGGGTTTTAACCCTGCTGCTCCCACAGAATGCAAGGGAAATCCCAAGGAAGAGACCCCGTGACCCTTCCAAATACCATGCCCAATTCCTAGGTCAGAGCTTGGGACACTGCTTAGTGCAGAAAAGGTTGGATCAACTCCCCTACAGACCTTCCCTCCCTGTACCTATGTGCTAGGGCCAACTTCAGCACGACAGCAGATGGATGCAGCACCCAGCTTTGCAAGACCTGTCCCTGCAGGAGTTCCTCTCTGCACCTCAGACAAACATTGCTTCTGACCCATCCCACATAACAGCCCTATGGATGCTGAATCTGCTGTTCAAAAAGGGATGGGGCTGTCTCCCTAGCCCTGACGTATTTGCTAGCTCTGTGTAATTTTCTTCTGCTTCTGGTCCCCAAAGACTTTCTTCCAACATTGCCAAGTAAAAACAGCACTCCTCCCTGCGAGCACCGTAGCTTGAGGGCTCCAAAATGAACAAATGCATTAATAATTCCTCCATGGAGATCACCAGTCAGGAAGGCAAGATGCCTGGGCTGGCTCCTCTGACTTGACAGTTTCCTCAGGGGAAATTTCTCCTTTGAGAAAAAACAAGGATGTCAGGTTTGCTGCCACGGGAGCACAGCAACACTTTGGCCCACCAGGGGCAAGCAGATCAAATCACCAACCAGCAGAGCCAGGAGTGCCCTGCAGGCTTCATGCCTTCTCTGGAACGCAAATGCTCTCAGAGGAGGAGGTGGCAAAAGCCAATGTTTGGAGGTGGGGAGGAAAGGCTTCCCAAAAGATTCTCCCATCTCTTTTGCCAAAAATTCCAAAACCCTTCCAGGCTTTCCTGAGGAAAGGCATCTTGCAAGAGAAGAAACCACCAAAATGCTCCAATACAGCAGCCAGGCTGTCCTGGTGTGACATCCTGATGCTCTGCCCAGGATGATTGATGCCTCTGCATCTGCTGGGTTTGCCATGGAACAACCACACAAATTCCCTAGCCAGGAAAAACACAGGGCCACGAGATGCTTAGAAAGCCTTATGTCTGTCCTACTGCGTGACAGGAACACCTGGGACTCAGGAAGGGGGATCAGAGCTGTTGCAAAGGCAAACATAGTACAGAGTGGACAGGAGATGGGCTTTGCTGAGATACTATCTACAGCTTCTCCTGGGGAAGTCAACAGGCAGCAATATCTCCTGCCTGCCGCAAACCAAACCAGACTGTTTTGGTAAACAGGCAAACCTTCTAAATCAACAGAATTAGCAACTTTTCCAAGCAAGTCAAATCTCTTGGAGCCTGCTCAGCGAGGTGCATCACCATGAACCGGGGTTGCCTGCACCAAAGCACAGTGGAGTCCCTTTGATGCAGGGGAGGATGGGTTTCCCTCTCCTCCCAGCTCTCCTACCTGCAACACGTAGCCCTCACGGGCACTCTGCTCCCGACCCAGTGCCACTTTCAGCTGGTCCTGCAGGTGTCGGTTCTGTTCCAGGAGCTCCAGGGCCTCCTTCTGTTTCTGCTCCAGCTGGAGGGACACGAACAGAGACAGAGTCCAGTGAGCAGGCAGAGGCTCAGCCATCAGAGCACGGGGCTTCCCACAGCACTGCTCTGCAACCAGAATTTCATTTTAACAGGCAAACTCCCTCCCCCTGAAAGAACTGCGTTTAATTCGTAAAGCTCAATGTGGCAAAGGAGGAATGGCACCAGCTCGTGCCAGGCATGGCCCAGGCAAATCCTGCCCCAGTTCAAATTGGCGATGCTCCTGGTTACTCTGCGCCTGCACCCCTTTCATTCCAGTTAATACACCTCAATCCTGACTAACAATGACCTTTGTTATCCCACACGTGGACCTCCTCCAAGTGAGCTGAGCCTCCTATTCTTTTCCTAAAGTCTTGAGATCGTTTGATGTAGGCTCACAAGAAGGGAACCTTTGTGGCACACACAGCAATTTCAGCCCATTTATGATTTTGTAGGCGTAACTGTAGACACAAATCTCTACAGTTGCAGAGGCAAAAAGGATTAAGAGCTTAAATTTAGAGTCTGGTTAATATGCCTCAGTTGTGCTCATCTCATTAGAGGAAGGCAGGGTAACAAACACCAGGAGCATCTCTGCTTGGTGCGGGCTGGACAGGGCAATGGGGAGCTACCTGCAAGAGCAGCGCTGGGAACAGAGAATGGACATGGACCTATGTCTCAAGAGACCCTGAAAGCATATCTCTGCTTACTGTTATCCCAAAGCAGGAATAAACACAGCTTTTTTTTTTTTATCCTTGCTCAGGCTTCCTGCTTTACCTCTTTCTCCAGCAGTGTGGTCAGGTGCTGCTTCGACAGCCCCTCTTCCCGGTCTTCAGCATGAGCAAGGTGCAGGGGGGCGATGGGGATCTGCTTCTCCTCCCGCAGTGGGGTGGTCTCCACCTGGTGCCACCGCTGCTCGATCTCCACGTGGACGTTCTGCGGTTTGATGTCTGCGGGGACAGGCAGGATCCGATCCACCTCCATCCTCAGTGTCTCTTCTGGCCCTGCTCCATCCACTGTGTCAACCATCTCAAAGCGTTTGCGCCGCTCCTCTCGCCGCCGGGCCCGCTCCCGCTCCAGCTCGCCTGGGTCGGTGTCGGCCGTGCTGCTGTCCCTGGAGAAGGCAGAGGTGCCACTCTTGGAGGAGTCGGCGGCGTTGGCACGCTCCTGAGCCAGGGCTTGCTGGATGGGGCGGAACTCAGCCCAGTCAAAGGTCTTGGATCGTCCTTCTCGCCGGCGCTCCCGTGCGCGGCTCCGTTTCTGCTCCGAGTCCAGCTCAGTTTGCTCCGCATCTGGCTTCTCGCTGGGCTTTGGGCTGGGCTCAAAGGATGAGCTCGTTTTGCTTTTCTCCTCTGGTAGGGAGCTGTGGGGACAGAGAGAGAGCAAAAGAAAGTGTCACTGGGTGCTCAAGATGGCCAGGCACTTCCACGCATGCCTTCAAGAGCTGGGTGGAGAGGGGCTGCGGAAGCCCAAGCCAAAGCCAGGTGTGTGCCCCCTGCCCCTCCATCTCCCATCGCCTCTCAGGCACAGCAGCCCTTCTTCAGGTTGTGCCGGCGTGCGAAGCCACAGTGCAAGCGGCCCTAGGGAGCGACCGATCCCAACCACACTCCTCCTTGGCAGCCACCCCAAGGCCGGCAGTGGCCCCCAAACACGCTCATGGGCTGGGGAGAGGCTTCAAGTGCTCCTCCAGCACCTGCCCACGTGCACACACTAATCAGCACGGCCACATCATGGGATAGCAGGGAGGATGCCACCAGTCCCAACAAAGTCAGCCTGGCTTCAGCGCTGTGGAGAAGCACAGAGCCGCTCTAAGATGCCTTTGGTAACTGGGGTCCAGTTTTCCTCAAGCTCAGCAGAGTCAGGCTGTGAACAGGGTCCAAAACTTCTTCACTATGAACACTGAGGCACATATCTGCCATAGGTGCCACAGCTGGTGCAGCGAGGAGAGAAAGAGTTACACAACACACCACTGCCATCCCCTAAAACACCGTTTCTCAAGCAAGGAATGGTTTTCAGTGCTGAGTTAGAGGGATGAGAGGGGAGACATACTCGTCAAGCAGGGAAAGAGAACAGGGAAGGGCAATACCACCTTCCAACCTACGGGCAGCCCATGATGCAATACTAGCTCATTAGAGGCAGACATGCCAGCCTGGGAACATGCAGATCAAAATTAAAATAAAGAGAATAGCTGTGTGTTAACCTTGCAGAGGAATCCTCTCCCAAGAGAACAGCAGGTGTTTGCCAATCCCTGTGCTACCAGGATCCCCCCAGATGCCTCCTGCAGCACAGCCCTTGGGCCCCATGTCCTGCACAACCACAGGGTTCCAGCACAGTCTGGCTGAGCTTTTGAGAAGGGCACAGGGAGCAGAGCCAGAGGGCAGCTGTCTGGGCCCTTCACTGCAGGCAGATCAATGCTCACAGTGCTCCACAAGCTCATGCGCACCACTGATCCCAAAGGCAGCAGCACAGAAGGGCTCCTCCAGCACACAGATTAAATCCCACTCCCCAAAACAAAGACTGGAGCAGAACTGCATGGGTCCAGGTCTAGTATCTTCCAATGCACCTCCATCCACAATCAAACCACAGGCTCAACAGAGCTGGGTTTCAAGAAATTCTGGCAGTCACTGGCTGAGACCAGCTTGGAGATAACTCCTTCCTCAACAAACCCAGAAAGCACCATGATGGAAAACTCACTCCACACCCACAGGATGCTGCTGCACGACTCCAGAGCACACTCCCAGCCAGGTGCTCAATGTGCAGTCAGTCAGTGATTACAACTGCTTTTTAAATAAGTAAAACAGAAAGGAGATGAAGTCTGAAAATGGAGAAGAGCAGTAGGAAGAAAGGGAGTCCCGAGGTCCCTTGGATGTTGCTGGGGAACAGAAAGGACATTACTCTGAACACCACATGGAAGAAGCCAGGAGTTGGACTCAATGATCCTTACAGGTTCCTCCCAGCTCGGGATATCCAAGGACTCTATGAACCTCAGTATGCTTAGAGGTGCCACCTCCTGCCAGCCCATTCCTCCAGCACAGATCCCAAAGGGCACAGTGCTGGGAAACTCAGCAGACAGCACCAAGATTTAGCATTTCATTTCCCAGCAGCACTCCATGGCTACTGATGCTACTCACTCATTTTGTACCTCCTCCCTTCTAGATAAATTCACATCCTGTGGCAAGGGGAGATGAAAGATTTATAGGGCAGGCAACAGAGAGTTGGTTTCTAATAGGGGTGGCTGTGAGCATGGTGCAAGCTCCAAGGTGAATATGGGAACTGGGGGGCACCAGGGCTAGGAGCTTGACCAGCCTCTTTGCTCCTTTTGTGTGCTTTACACCTGTATGGCCATGGCTGTAATTAGCACCTCTGCAGATGGCAGGGCAGGGAGCAGGGCAGCACCCACCCCCCGGGGTGCTGCCACACGCTAGGATATAAACAATAATTAAGACTTGAGTAACAAGGAAGCATGCACTGGGCCCAGTGGAGACGTGGAAGAGGGCGATGGGAGCCAGCAGCCCCATCCCAAGCTGCTCAAAGGGTGAGGATGCCAACAGTGCATCAAAGACACCAAACGGGCTGTGCTACATTGCGCTCACACCGCAGCCCAAGGGCTTGCCAAAGAGCCCTGGTGCACACAGAGCTGCAGTTCAGTGCTGTGCCTCAACCCCAAGTGCACCCCACTTGGAAGCAGTCCAGTGAAAAACAACATGAGTGTGCCTATAAAGCCCTCATCATCAGCTCGGGGTTCAGAGTTGCTGTCTGTTTATGCAGCGTAACAAGTTACTGCACGACCAGCACCCAGACCTTCTCTGTGGGGTAAAGCCGAGTCAAACCATGCCACGTGGGCTCAGAGCAGCAGACAGTGAGCACAGGAGCACCGAGATGCAGTAACCTGCTAGGCTATGCATAGATATGGCTCTTAAAGGGCTGAGAGGTCCCCTCAAATTTCCTTGGTCTTCATCTTCACATCTAGTCACATCAGAAGGTACCAGTGTGAGGGAATCAAGTGTCAAGACCAGGTTGCTTCTTCCCTTCTTTCTGGTTTTTATTGAAAAGAAAAATAAAGGGGGAAACAAAAAAAAAAAGAAAAAGAAAAAAGAAAGAAAAATAAATGAAAACTGCAGAACTTCCCATCCGAGGTGCAGAAAAGGAGGAGCATGCAGTGAATCACAAGATATACAAACCACAACATGTTAATACAGGAGAGAACACAGTTTTCCAACCTGGGCTTCAGCACGGATAGTTTCAAAGAGAAGTTTTTCCTGGGATTGCATGGAAATCAAACACACAGAGGAGTGAAGAGAGAGGTGGCTTCCCTGATATTCTGTGAACCCACTGGAGCTTGAGAATGGGTGCCAAGCAGGGTGGGCATAGGGGTTGGAGCATCTCCAGCCAGCGGAGCCAGTGAGAAGAGCCATGCCACCAAGGCAGGGGCAAACCTGGCAAAACCCTACTGGCTGCAGCCACAGTAAAGACAGGAGACAGTGAATGCTGTGGCTGTGGCTGGGAAGCCCATGGAAGTGTGGCTGGCATGGTTGGTTAGCTGTGAGGGGCTCAAACACCCTTTCCCTCAGCCTCAAGCGCTCACAGCTGGTTCGCAGGGAACCAAGGGGCCCCTTCCTCTGGCACTGGTGGCAGGAGGAGACACAGATATTGCTAAAGAGCAAGGGGAAGGAGCTGCTACCAGCTGGAATATTGAAAGGGAAGGGAGGCGGTTTGCTGGATGGAGTTTAAAGTCTATCAGAGCCAAAGAGCTTTCTCCTCCAGCCCTGTGACCCACAGCAGGGCCAGGCAGATCATGCTGAACAGTAGCCAGAGGAAAGGGGGAACCCAGCACAGCTGAATCCAAGTGGTTTCACAATACCTGGTGGGAATCCAGAGGAGCCTTGATATAGGAACAGTATTTCATATTCCTACGCACAAATTAAAGCCACATTTTCAACCCTCTTTGAAAACTGCACCCGTAAGAGCAACTCAGAATTATCAGCACGCCCACAAAGCATATCCAGAACAAGCCCAGAGAGAGGGGTGTAAGAAAGAGGCAGAGCTTCCAGGGACAGACAGGCTCAGAAAGAGGAAAGCACAGGGATGAGGAAGAGCTCCTTTTGCAGAACAAACCAGTGCAGGGGCCGTGACTCCTCTTACCTCGTTACATCAGGTGCAGTGGTGGGGCGAACGTGCTTCATGATGGTCTGAATCCAGTTGCGGCGGATGCCAGACGTCATGGCAGAGAGGGTGAATTCCCCTTCCTTTGTCTGAGGAGAGCAGGGATCGGCTCAGAGTTGTGGGCTGCACCCACCAGCACCTTCCCACACATCCCACAGCCACCCCAGCACCCAGTCCTGAGCATCCCTGCCCCCACACCATCCTTACGTGGATCTGGAAGCCGTAGTTCCGCTGAACTGGGTACTCAGTGACATCATAGCATGTTGATAAATCGATTTCTCCATCCAGGTCTGCTGCCTGGAGAGAGAAGAGAGAGATGAAGGATGCTGTAACACACTGCAAATCAAAAGCACCATGGCTCCGTGCAGGAGGTGCAGGGTAGGGTTTGGTGAGACGTATTGCAGAGAGACAACGAGCAGGGCTGTGGGGAGCACAGAGCCCAGGCAGCAATGGCTTTCATCCCACAGAGTGACACCTACCTCCTCTGCCACTGAATCCCGGTAGTATCTCAGGCTTTGGTCAGTCAGCACAAACCAGTGCTTCTTCCACTACAAAACAACCAGCACAGGGGAGTTACCAACAGCCCCTCCCCTCCCAGCTCCACCAAACAGTCCTCCCAAAGGGCTGGGGAGAGAGGAGCAGGCAGCAACACAAAGGATGCTGCAGTGCTTCAACCCCACAAGTGATGATGAAATTCTGCAAGCACCCTCCACAAGCTCCCCTGGCAAGACAAAGCTTTTTTTTTTTTTTTAATTAAAAAAAAAGCAATATGATACTCTTGTTTTATCCATGATATCTAAAAACTGAGCTGCAGCCCATTCCTGGCACTTGCTTTATACAAGTACATCTTCTGCATGTATTCCTACTGCCACCCGTGCCCTAGGACTGACTGCAGCCAGGCTGCAGGAACCCACACATATGGAGCCTGCCCAGGCACAAGGCACACTGGAGCAGGTGGCAGCTGCCCCAGACTCACCTGCCCATCCTCATACTGCTTTGTCAGCCAGCCCTTCTTGAAGTTCAGCAAATCAGGCTGCAAGAAAGGACAGAGGCAGTCAGAGTTGTCACATCCAGCCTAGGAATAGGCAACAGGGTGATAAAACCCAGCACAGCAATCAAAGGAACCAGCAGCAGTGAAGCTGGTCACTGCACTGTGTGGAGGCTAAATATCTGCTCCAAGGAGGCACAGGAATCTGCTGTATGATTTATGTAGGCTGTCTCCTTCCTAGCAGCTGTGATTTCCTACTGTTGCACCAGAATTACAATGGAAGGAGAAGCAAGGAGTTAGCAACACTGCATGCATTTTTGTTCCTCTGTTATCCACCGGGAGGGAAAAAGGACCTGCAATTCCATGCACGGACCCAGCACCAGGCTGAGTTCCCATGTTCAGGGCCTGGAAATACTGGGAATCCCACAGCACCGTGCCACAAAAACAGCACCTGCTACTTCCTGCAGCCAGCAAGGAAAGCACTCGGCAGCATGGGATCACTCCCAGCAGCACCAGGAAGGATGCAGAGAATGTTTCCCACCGACTGCAAGGTTTTCTTGCACATTAGATGATGTGCACTGTCACTTGATATGCACTTCTTGTACCTTCTACCAAGAATGTTAAAGTCATTCTTGTCACAGTACAAGTCTACGTGAAAAGCCCCACAGAAATGCTAAGCTACTGCATTTTTGAGAAGTCCTTGAATACGAGCTGTCCATCCATGAGAAATGTACATATCATGTATTTACAATGGCTAAGTAATCCTTCTCAGAGATTAGTGTATTTATTTTGTTCCTACAAAGGGTGGAGAGAAAGAGTGGAGGGTGTTCCATGCTTGTTTTGCACTGTTTGCCTCCAGATCTGGTGAGCATTTCAAACATGCAAATGGAAGATCTTGTCTTTCCACTAACACCAACTTGCAACTGCACAAACGTCACGGAAGCACTGATGGAAAACTGGGCCATGTATTAGCTCTCCTTACCAAACCAAATGCAAACTTGGCTTGGTACCCATTACTCAGATATGCACCAGTCATGAAGCACTGCTTGTTTTAATTTCTGCAGCAGTAGAGGGAAAAAGGCAAAAAGCAGAGCTCTAACTCTCAGCATTAGCCACACCTGTTTCAAGTCAAACCCAACTATCTGCTCCGACACCAGCCACAGCAGATGCCCTGTGTTGGCTAAGGGGAGAGCAGATGAAGAGATTTCCACTGGAGCTGCCTGGGAAAGGCTCTGACATCCACCCACGTGGCAGAGGACACAGCCCCGGTGGCTCACCGTCATGGAGGACTCTGTGGACCTTCTGTCCAGTGACTTGGCCCGGCGGTGTGGGGACAGCGGAGATGCAGACACGTCCAGGATGGAGCCCATGGCTGTCCCTTCGCACGTGAAGTCCTGTGCAGACAGCAGAGCCTGGGTCAGCACAGAACTAGGGCAGCAAGTCCTGCTCCCTGGCTCGTGGCACAAAAACCCACATATTTTGGGGGCACGTCAGGCTCAGAACAAGTGTCACCTCACTGGCAAGATCTTTTTTCAGGCTTCTCAGGGAATAAGCTGCTCCCAATACATCTAAGCACAACTGGGTCTCAAGACTGCCTGTTTCTTTTGTTATCTCATGCCACGAGGATGTGTCCTGCTGTGCCAGATCTGATGTTTTCCTCTTTCTATTCCGGAGGATAGAAAAGAGACAACCTGATTTTCTGCCCTGACCTGCAGCTGGGCCAAGCAGTGAGCAGCAAACCTGCATGGGCTGAGCCAGCAGTGCTGCTCTGCACACGATCCCACTGTGCTCAACCTAAACCCTACCATGAGACCTCAGTGGTGCCATGGTTGTACAGAAACTGCTTACCCGTTTCCGTGGGAAAACCCTCTTCTCACTCCTGCCCTGCCGTGTCTCGCTGGAAAGGGCAGCTCCTGCTGGCACGCTCGTCTCCATGTGCTCTGCATTCTCAATGTCTAATGCTTCAAATTTCTCAATTACCTGAGATCGCCTGGAAAACAGAGAGAAAGGGGAAGGCAGAGCTGCTTAAACCACGAGCAGAGTTGTGTGGAGCTCACAGTCCCGACGCGCAAGGGCTGCCTGAGGTCACTGCACAACTGCTCGACTCATCGCTCCTACAGCATAATGCTGCAGCTACCAACAACCTGAGACTACAGAGCACAACAATCACACCCTGCTGGGAGCTGGGCAGCTCCACATCACCCTGCATGTATTCTGTAAAACCTCAGTCCATGCAGGTAATGCACTAAACTGGAGTATACACAGGTTCATTCAGCTATAAGTTGGACATCCTATGTGGGCATCCCTCACAAAACTCATGCCCTTTGCTGAAACTGGCCTGCAAGGCAGCTGGAGGGAGCAGGAGCACACCTGGCCCCCACCTGCAGCTGGGCACCCCTCACATCACAGCACCCAGCTTTCCCAGGATGGAGAACTACAGTGGAGCAGCACACACCCTATAGCAGGATGCTTTCAATAGGCAAAGAACAGGCTTTCTGCAGGTGGAATTAAAAGTACCATTTCAGCAGGAAAAGCTGTCTGCTGACCCACAGGAGTGAAAATAACAGAATTTTCTAAGGATCTGCTGGTCCCAAACTGGCACCCCCAGGGGTCTGGGCAAGGACCAACCTCTGGGCTTTGAGCACAACCTGGGAAAGCAAAGCAGTAATCCATCCCAGGACACAAATCAGCTGAGCCCCAAGCTGTGAGGTTTCAATTCCCATTTGAACCTCCCCAAAACACTCAGTCCAGAGAGGATCCTGAAACAGCATCTGGACACCTAAAATCAGGAACCCTCAACATGCATGAAAATCACAAGGGCAACCACATGAGGGAAAACAGGTCATCCAAAAACATTTTTGTTTTAACACTTTTCACAATTAAAAAAAAAAAAAAAAAAAAAGAACAGCAGATTAGAACTTAAAAAACAAAATAAAAAACCATGAGATGTTTAGTTTTAAACTAATATTGCACCAAATCCCATCAGTCAGACACATTCCGAGCACATCTCAGCCCTGTGTGAGCTGCTGCTCAGAGCCAGGCTGCCAGGACCAAGGAACTGAACTGGGCCGGGGGGAGCTTTGCTTTTTAAATTCACATCTCTGATGTTTCTGGGGACATCTGTTCAGCCCCCACTGCCTCCCAGTTTGCAGAGTGGGAGCAGACAGATCCCAGTGCTCGTGCAGAGCTCTTGATCTCCCCAGGATGTTCTGCTCAGGTGAGATGTGTGTCACAGCACCCAGCTCACAGAGCACAAACCCACAGCCTCCAGCACCAACACACGGAGAACTGTTCTGGAGATGAGTTTTTAACCCAGCCATCCCCTTTTCACCCCGGCCCAAACCTCTGAGACTCAATTTAGGAGGGAGGAAGAGGTTCATGAATTAACATTATCTGAGCCCTAACAGATGAAGGCCTGAAGAAAAACAAATCAAGAGAAAAAAAAACATAAAAACAAAATCAAAAGCAGGTTGATTTCTCATGAAAGGGGCTGCACCACCAGGTTGTTCTACGGCTTGAGATTGAGATGAGATGGTAGCGAAGCAGGCGAAGTAAAGGCGGACACGTCACACAGCAACACAGCAGGAGAAGGTGGAGAGCAACAAGACCTGGAAGAAAACAAGGCTGGAAAATGAATGAACAGAAGAGGAAATTATATATCCGCATCTACATACAAAACAAAATCAAAACTATTCCAGTAATTCATCATTGAAAAAGGAGGAGGGAATAATTAAAAAATAAAAAATCACTGCAACCCAATCACAGCCCCAAGGGTTAATATAATTCGGATTACAGGAAAGAATCATGTGTCCCATCAGCTCAGTGTTTCAGAGAGGTTACTGTGAGGGGTCCCTGGGAACGCAGCTCCATGCTGGCAGTGCTGTGCTGCAGGCAGGGAGGGATGGAGCAGTTGGAAAGCTGTGCTGCTGCTTGGTGCTGCACTATGGAACTCATCCCAGGGAGCTTTGCTCATCTCTGCAGGCTGCTCGTCTCTGCCAGGCACGGAACCTGAGCTGCAGGTTGAGGCTGTTAGCTGGGGGTGTGTGTGCAGGGGGAAGGAGAGCTCTCACAGCCAACAAGCTGTCACTGAAGCAGTGTTCTTTGACTGGAGGAAAGGGCTTATTTGTAGTGGATTCATTCATTATTTAGCAGCAAGAGAAACAGTGAGCCTCAAGAAAAGGCCGAGGAATTTCCCCCAAAGGTAAACAAAAACAAAGAGGATAGTTCTAAAAGGAAAAGAAAGCTCTGTTTTAGAGAGCAGGCAGTCTTGTCTTTGCTGCAGCAGCATCCAGAGCAAAGCCTTACATCCCAAGAAGCTCCAGAGAAGGAATTTGAGAAAGAAAAGTAGCTCTGCTGCTTACTTGAGTTAGAAATACTCGCCAGCCCTGGCTGCACTCTGACACAGCAGGCTCCTGCCAGCACAAGCAGAGCAGAGGGGCAATTGGAAAAGCTGCATTTTCAGAGGCTGCAGCGCAGGAAGCGTGCAAGAAAAGCCAAGGGACTGAGCTCCGGGCTCCTGCACCCCAAGGACACCCCATCCAACACCAACACCCCTCCCCAAAGCTTCCAAAGCCGCTGAGATACACCGAGATTTATCCCTGCTCTGCTGACACACAGGGACTGACATCCAAAACCCCGGGATTCAGCTTGCAGCTGCCACAGCCCCCTTTGCTGTGCAAAATGGGCTTGAAGATTCATCTCTGGGGTTTCCAAATCACTGCCTGGAAACAGCCCCATCCTGCCCAGGGCTGGGATGAGGGAGCAGGGATGTGGCTCAACCCCTGTGGGCTGCAGAGCCGTGGCCCCACCCTGTGTGTGCCAGCAGAGGGAACTCGCACTCCACAGACCCCCACGTGCCAAAATCCCACAGATATCTCCTGCTCGGGGCTGCCTTCTGATGCATGTTTCAGAAGCAACCACAAGCTCAGACGTCTGCATGGGGCGTGGAGTTAAGTGCTGGGAATAAATGATCGACGTGGAATATTTCCAGCACAGTCATGGGCATCAGTCACGTAACAGCTCTTACTACGGGGAGACAGGGCAGGAGCCTGAAAAACAGCTCTATCTGGAGCTCAGACCACAGGTGTGTCACTCAGGATGGAGCACCAGGTAGTAACATAGCTCTTTTCCAGCCGTAGCTCTGACACTCCCGTGCTGATTTACAGTGGGTTAGAAGGAAATGGAAGGAAGGGACAAAAACACCCAGATAATCAGAGCGAGCCTGTCTGGCTGCACTGAGAGTCCAGAGGCAAAGCTGAGCCATGCCTGATGGTGCCCATGGGGTTCACGCATGGGTAAAGGACTTCAGGCAAATGCTCGCAGATGTGTTAGTGGTTTACTGAGGAGGAGGAGGAGGATTAGGTATAGTGCTAAAGCCGGCAGGAGAAGCAGACCCTGCAGCATGCAAGTGAGTTACTGTATTTGCTAAACCTTGATAAGCACAGCCTGAATTTGGAGGGGGGAGGAAAAAAAAAAAAAGATAGGAATCTGTGCATTCAGTGAACTCGTATTTATAAAGCAGCCAAGCCAAGGTGAGCAGGGCAGATGGGAGCTCTCTGGTGCGATGCTGAACTGCCTCTCTGTGCCTTGCTGAGCCCATCTGGACATGGGTGCCAAACCCCCTGAGCCCTACAGAGCTGCATCCATCACCCCCAGACTCCACACCCTGTGCTGGACTAGGGTCAGCTCCATGGGCACAAGACCCCCGCTCATCTCTCAGTACAGCTCTGAGAAATAGGAGACATTTTGCCCATTTCAATGCAGCAATGCATTCCTGCTAAAGGCCCCAGGAGTCCAGCTGAGCTGGTAGAAACAGATTTTCCCCACTAAAAGGCACCTGCCAGCAGGAAGTGCTTGGGGCTGATGTTAAAAAAAGGCACTCCCTGGCAGCAACGTTCTCTTGCAGTCCCCACTACCTGCATGCAAACCTCTGCCTTCTCTGTCCTGTTGGCAGATCCCAGTTTCCTTTTGGCATGCCAGATCCCAAAACTGCACAGTGCCCATGGGGGCTGGAGCAAGTGACTCCACTGGGGACCGTGCAAGCAACCACATAGGGACACAATGTCACCCGTACCTGAACCAACACCCTACAAGTTGAGCTAATCAGCCTGTCCCCAGCTGGGGTGACCAGGGGTCCTGCTTGGCACCCTTCCCTTCTGAACTCTCAAGGCAGGGAGAAATCCAATCCCATGCCCTGCTCCTCTGCCCCAACCTCTGCATGCTGCCAATGCTTGGATGGGTTCAGGAGAGACAGGATCCTGCTGCCAACCCACAGCATGGGCACGGAGCTCCCACACCTGCTCCCAACTCTCAGATGCCAGGCTGGAAAACAGTCCTTTAGGGGCTGTGAGAAACTAACTGGGAGTGCTGCTGAAATCACACTAGAGAGAACATGCCCAGAGGAAAATCAAGGCGAGAAAATCAGACTGGCAGATAGTCTTCTCGCCTGGGGCCCATCTCCCAGTTTGCTCTGCTGCCCTCGCTGCACTAACACATCCTTCACCTCACCCAATGACTGCTGAGCATGCCTGCAGATGCCCTCCTCACCTCCTCTGCACTAAGCTTGTTTGCAGCCCCGCAGCTGACTCTCCTCTCCCAGATTAATGCCATGACATTTTGAAACCTCTCTCAGCTCATTAAGCAGTTGCATAACGCACCCAGCTCTAGCACCATTTAGAGAGCTAACCTAATTAATGGTGCCAGCTGCCCGCGCGTGCTGCGCTGGGGAGGGGACAGGGAGGGTGGGCTTGCTTGCAAACGTGGCATCCAGATGTCACCAGGCTGACATCCACTGCTAAGGCCACCATATTGCCTGGATGGCGTGAATGGGCAACGTGGTTGCCCCAAAATCCACAACTGCTGCAATGCAAAGGGGCCAAAGTAAAAGAGGAGAGATTTAGGTTAGATGTCAGGAGGGAATTTTTTACTCAGAGGGTGGTGAGGTGCTGGCACTGCTGCCGAGAGTGGTGGCTGCCCCATCCCTGCAGGTGCCCGTGGCCATGGATGGCCCCTGGGCAGCCAGCCCACAGCAGGGGTTGGAACTGTATGGGCTTTGAAGTCCCTTCCAACGCAACCCTTCCACGATTCTATGATTCACAACACAGCCTGCCAATACCTCCCATCCAGGGCTGCATTGGGAGGGCGACCCCAAACCTCACTGATGCTGCAAGCATGCGAGAGGGAGGTGAACCACTCATCCCTTACCTTCTCTCATTGCCAAAGAGCCGGGCCACTTCTTCTCTCCCAGGGCTACGTGCCCGGGTTCTCCGCTCTAGCCGCTTCCTCTCCACCTGGAAGGCCTCACGATTACTGATCCTAACGGCCTTGGGAACGTCGGCCAGGGTGGTGTACTGCCGGCTGGCTTTAAAAGAAAGGGGACGCCCCGATTTTTCAGCTCCCCTTCCTACATCTCTGCTGGAGTCCTTGTGCATGGGGCAACTGCTCTTCGAGTCCAAGGAGTTCAGAGAAAAGCTGTGAATCACTCGGTCGCCTGATCGGGTACCTGGGGAAGGAAAGGGCTGGGCATGCTCCTGTGAGGGCGATTTGGGATAACTGTACCTGTTGTTTGGGGTGCTGGGGCTGGGTGGGCTCGGTGGTGGTGGCAGCTGCTGCTCTTCCAGCTTCGAGTCTTGCTTGGTCTTCTCCAAGGAGAAGTAGCCGCTCTCAACACGAGTCTTCCGCCCACAGTCTATCCGGTCCCCATTCATGGAGCTCTCGTCTAAGGGACAAGAAAAACACGTTTGGTTTCAAGTCTGAGTTTTGCTTTTAACAAAAAAACGTCACGATTCCAAGCAGGAATGCTACAGGAAATGAGAGCAGGGACTGTCCGAGTCCCTCAGCATCACAGTCTCTCCCAACCTGACACCAATTCCAATCCTTCTGGCCTGTGCAAAAGGGGAGATGCTTGCAGGGAGCTGGCGATCCTGGGGGCACAGGATACCTGAAGGGCTTATAGGTTCCCAGTGAGGTGTGGGGTGGCACATACAGTGTTCCCAGGTGGGAACAGCATGAACATTCACAGTCCCTCCCATTAAAAAGCATAGGAAAGGTGTGAATTCTAGCACTTTTCACTTCTGCTTGTTTTTTGTTTCAAAGAAACTGAGTAGGCTTCATATGAGCAAGGAAACTTCTTTTTTTGGGGGGGAAGCTTAGTGTGAAAGCCTCCACCCATTCCCACCTCTGTCCCTCCAAGCAGCAGCCACAGCTCCAAGGAAACACAACAGATGCATCACTCTTTGCACTGGGGAGCAGGAAGAAAGCAGCTCTATTCTGCTCCCATCATGCAGATAAAGGAAACTTATCCTCAGCCCAGGGCAGGAAAAATCCCCAGCCCCTATTGTTTCAGGGAGAACAATACTGTGGCCCCAGGCGCCTTCCATGGACTAATCAGGGAGACCAAATATAAACAGGGCCCTGCTGCAGGGGCCGGATGAGGAAGCAGCACTTAGGGCTTGGCAGCCCCCACACCCTATGGGCTGCCCCAGGGGGCCACAGAGGTGCTATGAAAGCATTCCCCCACACACCCCCCTTTTCCTCCCCATGTGAGGACAGGTGGCCCCCAGGAGCCCTGTGTGAGCATTTTAACATATAAGCTTAGTCTTACTGAGCAAGTTTGTGCTGACGAGACACAATCTCCATCTCAGAATGACAGAATCACACAGCTGAGGTTGGCAGAGACCTCTGGGTCCACCTGTTCTAACTCCTGCTCAAGCAGGGACACCAGGGTAGGGTGCCCAGGGCCACGTGGCATCACCTTACCTTCCTTGCTGTCCAATACGGGATCCTTCAGGGAGCTGGCAGCCCCCTGCACTGGGCTCTGTGCTGGGCTGATGCTGCTGCTCGTGTCTGCTGGCTCTTTGCCCCTCATTTCCTCCTGCCACAATGTGGACTTGGTGGTGGGGACCTTCTCAGCACTGGGGATGTTGCTGCTGGTCACAGCCATTTTCGCAGGGCCAGGTTCCTGGTGTGGACAGGGAACAGGAGGTGAGAGGGGCTCTGTGCCCAGAGAAGCCCTGCCCCTATCCTGCACGTTTACAGTGGTAACACTATAACACAACAGAAAGCACAGCAATATAGAGCAGGCTACAGCAAGTGAAGATAAGCCCAAATGCAGCAGCTATGGACAGAAACAAAGGAAAAAAAGCTGCTTTCTCTTAGAATGCCTCAAGTAGGCAGGGACCTTAAATGAGGTCTGGGAAGGGGTGGATCCTGGCTCCAACCCTTCTGGTCACTCAGATGCATTGCACACACCTGAGCTCCCTTGGGTTGGCCCTGTCTTCCCACTAGGTGCTCAATCACTGCTTCAGGCCCTGACTCAGCATTTCTACTACAGCAGTTTGGGGGAGCAGTGCAGCCTTGGTAACCAAAGCAAAGAAGGCACAGCCTTCCCCATGTCCCTCTTTGTGTGCATCTGCGTGTCCCCGCTCTGTCTGCAGGCTTCACAAACACGGAGCAGTGCCAGGTCCACGTGCCAGGAATGAATTTGCTCACTGTCATAATGTAACACCAGAAAAAAAAAAGAAACAGCAACCTAGAAATCAAGTGAAAGGATATTGGACGTAGAAAAAAAATAATTCCCTGACACTAGCAGCTGCTTTCTTAATTTGTCACAACCAGTTTGTTATGGGCCATTGATACAAAATAGAAAAACCATCCAGCACCGTGTCCCTCCTGGGTGCTTCCACTGCATAGCAGGATGCTGCTTTTAGAAAGGAAAACACAGTATTGCATTGAGGTTACTTTAGAACAATACCCATCAGGACAAAAGCAAGGGGCTCTGCACACTGGGTAGTGCCAGCAGCTGGTGGCTCCCCACAGCAGCCCAGGTTAAATGCACAGCAGCTTTCCCAGCTCATGTGGGGTTTGGCTTTGTTCCTCAGCAGATGTTTTGCTCTTGTCGTATCAGCAAATGACCTCAGTATGGAAAAAAGTCCCCTCGGAAATTTCATCCTAAAGGAATGCAGTGTTGGAGGTAAATGATCCGGAGGGCAACAACTCTCTGGAGGTGCTGCTGCTTGGAGGGGTCGGACATTGCCATGGTCCTTCCAGCCTCAGCCACGCTCTGTCCATTGATTCAAAAGCCCAAAGCTGATCGTCAGACATATATCTTTATATACTTCTCACACACGCCCCCGTAAAATTATTTGTAGATATGTATTTAATTAGACACAGAAACGAGGGCCAAAAGGCGCTGTATAAACAAGCAGCACAATTAACTCTTTGTCTTCCAGAATGAACGGCTCAAAAAAGGAACGTGTCCCAACATCATTAGAACCAATCCCCAGCTGCAGTAAAACCACAACGTGCTGTCCTTACACACATCTCACACAGTCTGGTGCAAAGTAAACCCGAAACAGAGGGCAGCACCTCCAACCCCAGATTTCAGCCTCAGATCATGCCTCAGTTTCCCAGGAGCTGAGAGCAGACAGGGCAGCATGCTCCTCCTCCCCCTGCATGGCCAACAGTGAAAGAGAAACCTGACCCATTTCTCCTAAGACCTCAAGCTGATTGCAAAGTAAAGGTGAAAACAAGTCCAGCGTTGCATCTAGCAACCCCTGCCCAAACTGCAACTGTTGGTGCAAGCTTCACTTCCCAGCTTCTCAGCTTCACTCGTGTTGCTCCCATCCCAGCATTCAGCAGGGTGAAGGTGCAAAACAATGGGGCGAGCTGAAAATGAGCCTCATGCCCCAGGAGCACAGCCAAGCCCTGATGTAAGAGGGAGAAGAAAAACGGCATGGGAGTAAGAACAGGAAGAAATATCCTAAATATCTTCTCTTTTTTTGTTGTTGTTAAATCACAAAGGTGTCCATCACTCCCTCAGCAGCTCTCAGACATGATCTGCTGCCAGATTAGTGTGCTGCTGTCTTTAGAAAGAAATCAGCCTTTCCACAGCACACGGAGTGAGAGCTGAACAGCAGCCAACTTCAGGAGAAGCCATTTCACAGAGGGGGATTTGGTGCTGGTTTTCTCCCTGGCATTGATTTGCTGCCTGCATCGGCACGATTCAAGGAAAGAAGCAAAGGTGCTTTCACATTTCCCTTCTGGCTCTGCAGGTTGACCATGAGCACCTGCAACAGCAAAGCACCCATCCAGCACCAGGTCCCACACAGAGGTTGGATTTGTAAAGTGAATTTGAGCTTTTTTCCAGTAGCACCACTGCTGTCGCAGGGCTGGGAGCAATGGGATGCTCTGATGGAGAGGGTGGAAAGAGAGCTGCAAGCAGGATGAGGTTTGAGGGATGGCATCCCACAAGGTTGTGAGATGCTGTGCCTCAATCCAGTGTGGGAGAAGTGTCACCAGGTTCCATGCTCACCCCATCCCCAAGCACATGGGGAGTCAGGCTGCATGCATGGGGAGTTGCTGTCCTCCCCACAGCCGCTTCCCTTATTTGGTGCTCAGGAGCTCAAATCCTGTACGGTTTCCAAGAAGTTGCCATGGCAATGAAATGCAACTCAGAATGATGTCTTTCTGGCTCCTTGCCCCTTTCTCCTCCTCTCTCTGTCCCCTTTCCTGAAACCAGCCTGGATTTAGTGCTGGGCTGGGCTCCCTGCCCTGCTGCACCAGCTCACTGGGTTGCCCCAAATGCAGCAGGATTGAGGCCAAAGAACTCGTAACATGCCACAGAGGAGACACCTCCCCTGCAGCATCATTGGAGCCACCGCTCAAGGGGCTGTGATGATCCCATCGCTTGGCAGGGAGTGCCTCAGTCTTCCAGCACAGTGCAGAAAAAGCATCATTTCATCTCATTATTCCTGTTCCTACTGATTAAGGTAACTTTATCTGGTGGAGTGGTGGAAACTTGATTCAAATAAACACTACACGCAGCTCTGCATGGAGACACCACTGCACTGGGGACCAGAAAACTGGGGCTCAGGGGAGCCCCAAGGTGGTTTTCCCTTCCTGACAGCAGCAGCCCCATAGAGGAGCCCAGCACTCAGTCCCTGCAGAGGTCAGATGGCCTCAGAGCTGCGGCAGTTCTCAGCCCCAGCAAAGGACAAGCACAGCCTTGGGGTCACGTTCCCAATCAGTGGGATTCTCCCCCACTCCGGCCACGTGGGAGCTTGGCAGGAACGAATGAGTCATGGCCGGCCCCGGTTTTTACCATTTATAGTCAAAGCGAGTGCGAAGCCATCGCCGGGTCCCTGGGGAGTGCAGCTCCGGCCCCTGGAGCTCCCAGCCCAGCCCTGGCCTTTACTATTTTCCTTTCATTTACATTATCTCCAAGGTCATCTCCAACAGGGTAACCGGAGCCTGATGGAATTTCATCCTACTTATACCAAAAAGGCCCCTTGAGTGGTCAGCACGTCTTCCCGGGCCCCTGGGACCACATGGCTTTGGGACAGCACGTGCAGGGCTGGTGCCAGGGGACCGAGTATGCCCTCCTGGTTTGGGGAGGGATATGTGCCGGGAGCAATGCTCCCCAAGAGGGAGTCAAGGGACTGGGATGCTGTGTCCTTCCAGGGTTACCTGTGGAGTTGGGGGCTCTACCTTCCTCTTCTTCTTCTGGTTCTGCTTGTTCGTTCTTGGGTAGACTATCAGCATCTCCAGCCACCTGTGGGCAAAGAAGAGCAGCACATGAGATGTGTGCTGACAACAGCAGGCAGGACAGGAGCAATACTCGCTCCCAGGTGTGGGGAGTAAGACAGTGCTCCCTGCACTGCAGGGACTCTGATCTCATCACCAGGCAGATACAGGCTGATGCACTCCAGGACAGGCTGCCCATAAGCCATCCCTTTGCTTCCTCCAGAGACATGGAGCAGCAGCCCCCATCCCAAACCCCCACACCAACGGTTGGTAGTCGGGCTGTCAGTATTATCCTGAGCTGGAGCTCAGCATGCAGACGAACTCACCCCTCTGAGCTGGGCTGGAGTACCATGATACCCAGCAACCATCCCAGACTTGGGAGAAAAGCAACTCGCAGAGCAGGGCAGCAGGGGAGGAAGGACAGAGAACAGCTCCAGGCTGCTTTGGCTCAACACCACTCACTGCAAGAGAGAGGTCACGGCCGAGGGTAGCACAGGGCAGGGATTCAAGGATCCTGAAAGCCAGCCGAGAGCTCCAGAGCTACCAGAGGGCCTTCTCCCTCCAGAGCTGCTAACACCAGCACGCTGCACACAATGCACTTTTGTCTGAGAAAGAGCAGCATGAACTCAGCCCATCCCGCACATGAGCCTCTCACTCAGGGCACCCTCTCTGGCTCTCCCACAGCCACTCCTGCAACTCGGGAAGCTTAGAGAGGATCTGCAGTGCTGGAAAATGCTTGTGCTTCAGACTTCAATGTTTTGCCCTCCTGTTCCCCCCACTTCGCACGCTGCTGCTGTAAAGCACTTTGAGATGACCACATCAAGTGGGTTTTGGTTAAGCAATAAATGCCAGAAGCATGCAACAAACGTAAAACAAATTCTCCCCTAGCTGGGGAAATCTCCCTGTCGTGCTGCAACTGCAAATGAAACCCGCTTGGCTTGGGCCCAGAGCGAGACTGCTTGGGGATGATTAATGCTTGCAGTCAGGAGCAAACGCGCTGCTTCAAAATCTAACGCCGGGCCAATGAGCAATAAATCAGCCCCACCTTGCTCTGCAATGCTGCTCCCTCGTGCTGCTGGCAGGACAGGAACAAAGGCTGAGCTGTGAATGGGAGCGTGGGGAGAAGAAGAACGCAGCAGGGCATGAGGAATCATACTTTGGGGTATAATCATTGCATCCACCCTGCCAGCCCCCCTCTGGTGTCACTCACACTCATTGGTCTCAGTGGAGTAGGGAACTTTTGTCCCATGCCAACATTCATCTAAGCAAAAGCCCAAGTTTTTGCCAGAGAAATGCCTATTTCAAACACTGCTTACTAAAATGGGGGAGTTACAACCAAGGAAAGTGCTTGGAAATAGAAATTGTTCCAATGGGATGCACCAGCTCTGTTGGTGCCAGGCTAGGAAGCATACAGGAGGTACCATGCCTCCGGACAGATCAGGAAGAAGATGTCAGGGGATGCTTCTAGATCAGCATCCAGCACTTGAGTTGGAGAATCTACCGCCATATGTTCATGTTAAGTGGTCTAAAGTGACCTAGGAATGATGGCCTTGAGAGGTAATGAGCAGCTGGGGAGCTCTAGGATCTGAAGCTCCCTGCAGTGGCTGAGCCTCTTCAGTTACTGGCTCTGCAAGGTGTACAGATGTTGGAAAGTCTCGTGGCACAGCACAAAGGAAGGACTCAAATCATCCACTCAAGCTGCTGCTCATGCTAACCCCATGAATCTGGCAGCTCAGGGCTTGCTAGCACTCCTGCCCTGCTACAGGTGGAAGGGATCCGCCAGGCCAGGATGCAGGAAGGGGAAAGAAAAGCCAACCTTGCCAAAAAGGAGGAGAAGAAGAGGGGAGCTGAGTGCCAGGCAGCACTGACAGCCAGCCCCGGGTCTGCCTGCACTCACCCGCTGATGATCTCCTTGTTCTCAGCCCGGATGAAGTGCTCTTTCTCTGGCGTTAGGATGCATAAGGAGAATTTCTGCCCTGTGCGGCTCTCCCCATCCACCACATCCGTGCACTGGTTCATGTTGATGGTGCCCTGTGGGAGCGTCGTCGGCTGCAAGGGGAAGGAAAAAAGGGATACGTGAGGAGATAGAAGCAGATGGGCACAGTGCCTTAAACCTCTCCAGGTGGACACCAGGATTCTACACACCCAGTGCTCTGTCCATAAGCAGAGCTCTGCCCATTGAAGTTAGTGAAACATGGAGATTGGGAGCATCTTCCCCAGCCAGTCACTGGGATGCTCTGCAGGGTCATGGCATGGAGGGGACCTCATTTATCTGATAGCTTCGGAAAGCACAGTGTCACCTCCTGGTCCCCCTGCCCCAAGGGGATGCAGTTAAGCAAGATGAGTGGTGGCCTCCCCAACCCAAGGGGACACGGAGGGACTTAGATCAGTGTCACTGCTGATAAGAGCTGACAGCTCCATCTGGAGCATCAGCTCATCCGATTTACAGTGGCAATGCCACATCCCTGCTGTCCCCATCCCCAGCCTGCTGTGCCCTGCTGCCAGATATGGTGACACAAGGGTCCCCCCCACCACGGCAGCTCTTTGCAGGCCAGCATGAGCCCCAGATGAGTTGGGCAGTGGGACCTCTCTGAGTTGCACGCAGCACCAAAGGAGCACCCCACACAGCCCACAGCCACCTCTGTGCCCCAGCTAGCCCCCTCTCGTCCTCCAGATGGCCAGGCCAACAGGGAGATGAGTTTTTGGCAGATGCTGATAAGATTTTTACCATGGAAACAGGCTCCAGCAAATCACATCCAAGAGCAGGGTGCAAAGGAGATGTGACCAGGGAGAGCTGCAAAAGCCCCATCCTACAACCCAGGGAATTCAGCTAGTCTCACTGAGACCCCTACCCTGGTTTATCCATATGCAGATATGGGAAATATCCCAGTTTCACCAGGAGAAAGGCTTTCCCCATGGCTGTGCCCCCAAATGGGTCAAGGAGGGAGTGTGAGCACCCCATGGAGGGAGCAGAGGTGCTGATGCCCCTGTGCTGGCACGTCAATGGGACCAACCTTACATCAGGGACATCAAAACCTCCTATTTCTGATTATGAAAACCAACATCAGCGTCCAGAAATCCTGCAGGGGGAAGGGGAAGAAAAGCCAAGCACAGCCCAGAAGGTCTCCAGCTCAGCCCCCCCTGCTCACTGCCACGGGAAGTCAACTCCTAAGAGGATTTTTTGTCTTAGACAACAAAAATAAAACCCTGCTTTCCGGTAGCTATAAAAACCCTACGGAAAAACTTTCTCCCAGCTCCAAGTGGAGTCTTAGAAACATTTTTGTCTCCCTTGCCTTTGGCTGTGCCAAGGCCTCCAGGACCATGAACTCTGCACCGCCGCATGGGTCCAACCCCTTCCCCACCCACAGCCTTTATGCACAGGGAACACGGCCAGGACAGGGAGGAAAAGAGGCTGGGGATGGCTCTAGGAGGCACCCCTGCACCTCATAGCTCTGGGCAGGAGACAGAACCTGACAGACAAGCAGCCTGGCTCGCTTGGGATTTAAATCCCTTTACATCTATTTATTTCCTTCTTTGCTGCTGATGCAGGCACTTTGAAACCAAGCGAGATGCAAACAAGGTGGAAGCACACACCAAAGCAAATGGCACCAAAAGCACAGTCAGGACGTGGCCCCCTGGGCAAAGACAGAGCTCTGCTGCAGCACCTGGGGAGAATCCAAAAGGAAATCCTAAATTCTGTGCTATGGGGAGCAAACCCACGAGGCTTTGCACTCTGCTCATGTATCCACTGGAACAGGTGATGCTCAGAGCCAGACCATGCCCAGCCCCAGCACCCCAACATGGCAAACTTGTGTACCACACACTCCCTACCTACTTCCCATGGTGTGTGAGGAATGAATATGGAGGGGAACGGAACAGAAAGGAGAGAAAGAGGGAGCAGAAGCCTTTTAGGAGCCCTGCAGAAGAAATCCCAGCCTTGGAGGCACAGCGCCCGTGCCCACGCCATGCTCCCAGGCCGTTACACAACGTCAACTTGGTGAAATCTGGAACATAACCTTTAAAGAAAGGCGATGGGGCAGGGGGAGGAGGAAACCAAACAAAAGAGACATTTTACTTTCTGCCAAGAACTAGGAGGGGAAAAAAAAAAAAAAAAGAAAGAAAAAAGAAAGAAAGAAAAAAAAAAAAAACAAAAAAAAAACCTACCATTTGTCTATCTCGCATGGCAGGCTGGTTGCCTTGGCACCAGAGCCTGGCTGGCCCGGAGGAAAGATGGGGGCTGATTGCTCCCCACGGCCCTGCTCCTCTGTCTGGCCCCAGTGTGGCACATGAAGGGCTCTGGTATGGGACTGCCCTGCTCAGGCTCCCAGCACTGCCCCAGATTAGCAGTGAGTTGGGCACACCTAAGGGAGAGCATCCAGGCTGCCTCCATAAATGCTTCTTGACAAATGTTAATTCTCTGAGCTAAAATATTCATGAGGATGGCTGCCGAGGAGCAGGCTGCTCATCCACAGTGCTCTTAAGTGCTCTGCAAAGGGAGCTGCTAAAAGCATTGCCTGTCCCTGGTGCTCAGCCCCACGCTCAGGGTGGGAAGTGAGCGGGACACGGTGTGGGATGGAGCAATGCACAAAGCATTGCATGCTTCCTGCCACTAGGCACAGAATGCTATCAGTGTGGCCACAATGCAAGCAGAGTTCTGCTGCGGGAGGATTTTATTACACTTATAGATCATCTAGCAGGCAGAGAATCCTGGATTTACACCAAGGTGGATGAAAATGACCTCTCCAAGCTCTGCACAGGATGCATGGGAGCAGCCATCCATCAAAAGAGAGCAAAGGTTGTGCTCTCCCTCCTGCACCTCCCTGCACCTGGGAGAGCTGCCCATCCTCTGCAGCTTCCAGCCACTCACCACCCCAGCAGGTGGGCAGGTATCTACTTTCAGCACACCTTTCTCACCTGCAGGCTGCCCGTATGGGCAGATATTGCTCATGGAAACAGCTGAGAAACCTCCAGCAGGCTCAGACCCTGAGGTCACCCCCTCAAGGAACACGCTCAAAGCTCAGAGGACGAATGTGCGTGCCTTGTGCACGCGTGTCCCTGCACACCAGGCCCCTGCACAACACTCCCAAGCCTTCACCAGGAGATACAACAATTTCAGCTCTGCTTTCACCAGGCGGAAAGAATTTTCTTCCTCCCCCCAAACCCCGGAGCAGTTTGGGGAGGGGGCACGGCGCACGGATCGGGCAGGAGAGTTCAGCCAGGGGCCACTTCTCCACAGAACCAGTGTTTACGTCCACCGACAGCGAGTCTAAACACACAGCAAGGCCACGAGCTGGCTGTGAGCACCCCGGGCTCCTCACCCACCCGGTGCCATGCACCAACCCTGCAGGCACCCAGACAGAGTGCTGGGGACCACACATCCCCTCCACATCCCCATCCCCAGTGGGCGCCTGCCTGGGGAGCGAGTGCCGGAGCGGAGTGGGAGGCTGGAGCTGGCTTGTCCTGGCCTTATAAGGCGATTCTTGCGCTGTGCATGCAGCTCCCAGCTGCTCCCCACCCCAAAGCGGGGTCTGGAGCTGGCAGCCAGCTCCTCGCCTGCCTCCTTCCTGTTAACCTCTTTCCTGCTGAAGAGCCTCCGAAGGGTCATGCATGGCTGGGATGGCTGCAGACTGTCCCCGCAGGCCACACAAGTGTCAGTACAGGGAGGGATGGTCGGTGAGCGTCCCTTACCCACCTGGGATGGTCACCAGGCGGTTACCCGTGCACATCTCCATCTCCAACCCTGCTGGAAGGGAAGAAGGACAGAAGATGCAGAGAGCATTGACACCACGCTGAGGACGAAAGTGAGGTCCCAGCTGGGCTGTGGGTTGAGTGGAAGCTCCAAGCTTCCTGAATTGGCCTTTCATGAACCAGAACTTCATGGAACAAACCAAACCGTGGTCAAACTCCCCATCCCACAGCCCTGCCAACACAATCCGATCTTTACGCCCCACTCCCCCGACAACACGGATACACGACGAGGGCAATCAGAGTTTCAAATGCAAAATGTCCTCCCCACCCTTATGGGAAGGAGTGGGGGAGGGCAGGATACCGATCTGACCCCATCTGTGTGCAGCTGCCAGCATGGCATCTCCCTGCAGCAAAGGCACCCAGTCAAAAGGGAAGGAACTATCTGTGGTATTCAATGGGCTGTCACGGCAATCAGCACGACAGCAAAAACCCAGTGAGACTGCTCCCCAGGACCCAACAGCACAGCAGGGGATGAGGAGCTTGGAAGAAAGGAACGCAGCTGTTTTGGGGGGTGGGAGGGAAAGGGGGATTCCATCTGCATTTGGCAAACTGTGCTTTAAATTGTACAGTTCCACACTGGCCATGCAACTCTACCATGAGGGAGCTACAAGCCGCTGCCATGACGGATAGGAGTCCTTGCAAGCACCCAGAAGTAGAAAAACTGGGAAGGGACCACCGCTCAGTTTGCTCAGGATCCTTAAGGAAGCTACAAAAAGGTGCAAAAGGCACTTCACTAAAAAGAGCATCACTGCCTGGGAAACAGCTTAGGAAATGAACCCAGGTGAAGTTTGCTTGCTGCTTGGTTTTGGAGCCAGCTTTCTCACCGAGCAGGAAAATCACTGCAGCTGGTTTAGGCTCCAATGTCATTTGGAGCAACAAGTACTGCTAGAATGATTCCCAATGTCTTCTTCTAGGGCCACCCTCACTGTGGCCTAAAGGCTCTTGAGATGCCACCAGGCAGCATAGGGACGTACAGAGGCACACAGACCAGGCTGAGACAGCCAGCCACAGGGGTGACAGGACTAGGGGAAGCTCAGGCAGGAGAAGAGAGAGGTTCTGAGGGTTGGCCATGCAGGGATTCAGTTCCCAGAGCCGTATCTCTCCTTGGGACACTGCCACAGGGCTCTGCAGGTGTCTCATCACAAGGACAGACCTGCAGAAATCTGGCACGAGCCCTACACACCACCCCACTGCACATGGCACCAGGGTAGGAATGCTGAGCAACTTGGAAAGATAAAGGCTAGGAATCTGGGAGCTTTATGTCTTCTTTAAACCACCAAGGATGGACACGGCCAAGGTAA